GGTGCCACGGGTCGACTGACTGAGATGACTGGCTGATGCACCACCTGTGCCCCCTACTGTGTCAACCTGCTGTGCTTTAGCCACCCGGCGCTCCGCTCGTTGTTCTGAGCGTCGCTGCTCCACCCTCCGTTGTTGTTGGAGGGCGACTGCCTCCAACTGCCCAGTAGCGTCCTTCACGAGCCTCCTCCACAGAGGCCGATCTTGACACCGCTGGTACCAGTCATCGGCAAGTCCACTCAGCTCCACGTCCTCCTGTACCACATCACTCCATCTCTTCTCTAGCCCGTGCCGCGCTCGCTTAGCCCCCTCGATCCGGCCGAACAAAAGCTGTTTGGGCATGCGGTGGCTGGGCATGCGGGCTACATGACCCAGCCATTGCAGCCTTGCCTGCCGGAGGAGCTCACCGATGGGACCCTGCCCAGATCTTTCAAGGATTTGTGAGCTCCTCACACAATCCAGTCTGGTTAAACCCAGGATGGATCGTAGGCAGGCCAGCCTAAATGTTTCTAACCGGCGAAGATGTTCCATTAGGGGGGTCCACGTTTCGCAAGCGTAGAGAAGGGAGGGAATGACCGTGGCCGAGAAGACCTGAAGCTTAGTGCGGAGCGACAGACCAGGTAGCTTCCACACAGCATTACGCAACCGATGAAAAGATATTGCCGCTCGACTGATTCGGAGTGAGACCTCTGCTGTTAAACTGGAGCCGGTCATAAGCACACTGCCCAGGTATGGGAAACTCTCCACATTCTCCACAACTGCCCCATCACCGATTGGGAGTTGTGGGGGTGGAGTGTCCGATGGTACAAAATACCCAGGCAGGTGCTTAGTTTTGGTGGGGCTGATGGTAAGGCCCCATCTCTTAGTGGCACGCTCCAGTCTCAGCAGCATCATCTCCAACTCCTCCTCTGAATGAGCAGCTATTACCAAATCATCTGCATATTTAACGTGGTTGAGCAATAGGGAGCCATCCCTTGACCGCACCCGGGCATCGATCAGCCTCCCATTATATCTGTACCAAATGGAGATTCCCCCGGTACAGCTATTGAAGGCTTCACGAACTACGTGGTCAAAATAGATGTTAAATAATGTGGGAGCCAGAGGACATCCCTGTCGCACCCCAAAGTGTACAGGCAATGGCTCTGACTCCCGGCCACGTAGTTTTACCCGGGCCCGCTCACCATCATGAAGGTCATTAATGATCGTGAGCAGAGGGTCAGGGACTCCAAAAGCACGAAGAACAATCCAGAGCCCAGGCCTACTGATGGTATCATAGGCCTTGACCAGGTCAATAAAGCAGAGATGTAGGTCTTGCTGGAATTCCCTACACCTCTGCTGTAGCAGACGGACAGAAAATATGGCATCTGTGCAGGACTGCCCTTTCCTGAAACCGCATTGGGGCTCCGCAAGCCTCTCCTCAGCGTGCCTGGCAAGGCGATGTTGAATAATCCTTGCCAGGACCTTTCCTGGCACACTGAGGAGTGAGATGCCCCTGTAGTTGTTACAGTCTGTGCGGTCCCCCTTCTTAAAGAGGGGGAACACCAGGGCATCCTTCCAATCCTGCGGAACCCGTCCAGTGGTCCAGACTGTTGTTATGATGTCATATAGGGCAGTCTGTGCACAAACCCCACCCTCCCTCAGCATTTCTCTTGGGAGATCATCTCTGCCCAGTGCCTTTCCTGGTCTCAGACTCCGGATCGCCTTCAGTACTTCCTCAACAGATGGCACCTCAGCCAGCCACTCACAGGGGGTGACTTCTTCCAATATTTGAGGCACTGCAGCCTCAGCAGGGTCATCCCCACTTTGTACCACGATGTTTTCCTGGCTGAGGGATTTCCCGTCCCCCAGGACCTCACAGAAATGCTCAGCAAATCTGCAAACCTGTTCCTGGGGGTCGGAGATTGGATCACCGTTTTTTTCCCTAATGATGGTAATAGGTGTGGCGCTGCAGGTTACTTTTTTGATGGAGTTAAATAGAGATTTGTGATCGCGGGCCACTGAGGCAAACTCCATTTCCTCAGCAACCCGCGACCACCACCCATCCTTGCAGCGCCTCACGGCTCTCCGAACCTCCGAGCGAAGGCTGATGAAAGCCTCCTCATTCTCTGACGTGGGAATCTGTAGCCGATGACAGTGGGCCTGTCGCTTTTTCTCAACTATCCTGAACACCTCCTCTGTCAGCCAGGGTCTCTGGGGAGGTCTGAACCACGTATCCAAAGCAGCCATTGCAGCTGCATGAGTCAGTTCTAAACCTCGCCCATTTACCCTCGACATCAGGAGGAGTGGGGGACGATGCCAACCCCAGCCGCAAGCGATGAAATTCTCGCTTGCAACTTTCATCAGATAACTGAGACCAGGCCACTTTAGGTTGGAATGGGGTCCTGGGTGTACACCCACCACCGGAGTGGAAGAATGGCAGGCGCATCTTACAGATGACTAGTCGATGGTCAGAGGGCAGATCACGTCCATGGTAGGTCCTGGTGTCAAGGACATGGGCTCACATCTGCTGGTCCGTCATTATGTAGTCCAGCAGATGTTCTTACTTGGACCCGGCATGAATCCATGATGTTGTGTGGATGTGCCGGTGCCGGAACAGCGTGTTGGTAATTACAAGCCCATGGGCTGCACAAAAATCTAGCAGCCTCCTACCGTTGTTATTGAGCTGATCTGGCCCATGCCCTCCAATCACTCCAGACCAGGTGCCAGCATCATGACCAACTCGGGCATTGAAGTCACCCAAGAAGATGACTCTATCCCGAAGGGCCACTTCAGCCAGCACCTGTGACAGGAGGTCATAGAAGGCATCTGACTCATCGGCTTTGCCTGCATCCCTCCACGGATGTTCGTCTTCGGTGGGGGCATAAGTAACCTTGACCACCACTCCTCGCCTCCGGTTGATGGGAAGGCGAGCCCAAAGTAGCCTGGGGCTTACAGCTTCCCACACCTCATCACCACACTCCCACGCCCCCTTCATTATTTTGTTCAAAAGAAGAGCCACACCCTGTTGTTTGGCAGTCTGCTGCCCCGAGTAGAGGACTGTCCACCCCTCATGGTGGCAGGAGCCAGAACCAGTCCACCGGACCTAATGAATGCCACAGAGATCCAGGCGGTACCGGTCCAGCTCCCGACAGAGGAGTGGCAGCCTCTCCTCCGCAGTGAGCGTTCGAACATTCCATGTGGCCACACGAAGTGGCTTTTCGTTGTTTCTGGAGGAGCCCCGAGGGTAGAGATTCAATCTCCTGGCTCCGCCTATTGAGGTTTGGCCAGGAGACGTCATAGACACCTGTCCCCCCGGGGCCTCCGGTGGTTTCGTGGTAAAAATGTTGAAGGTGGAGGGGTTACCAGCCCCTCGCACCCATCCAGAGCCCCCGTTTAGCGACTGTGGTGGTCACAGACGCCATGAGAGGAGGGGCCAATCGGAATTGGCCCTCCCCCCACAGCACTGTCCACGACAGATTTTCCCGTCCAGCACCGCGAGGAGGTAGCAACCAAAGCGGCCACTCTAAATTGTCTGGTTGTTGCTGCTGGCTTGCACCACATTGATTTTTGCACACAGCGTTTTAATAAGTTTTTTTGCGTGGAATATTTGCTGGTTTATTCCAGGATGTTTCTGTTGCGCGTCGTCGCTTTGGGATGTTCTGTGTTCAAATTTTGTTTGTTGCGGTTGCACCCGACTTAAGAGCCGCATGGCTCACAGGGCTAAACCTAATAAATGAAACTTAAAACTCTCACTCAGTCAAGTGAGCAAGCTCTTCAAACAGCCACAAATCCACACAGACTCAACCACTCAACGGCCCAATCAACCACACGACCACTCAACCACAACCAAACGCACCCAGTCATTCGACCGCGCACTAGTCCACACTGCCACTTCAGCAATTACAGACACCCAGCCAACCACTCAACTACCCAGTCACTCTGCCATCCAGTCAACCTACTCAGCCTCTCACCCAGCCACCGTTGTAACGAGTCCACCGCCCGCCGTGCAGCCACCCTCGCTCTTCTCCTTCCCACCCAGCCTGACACCCCTCACCACCACCCTCACCACCACCCTCACCACCATCCTCAAACACCCACACACCCCCAAACACCCCTCACCACACCCCCGACACCCCTCACCACACCCCCGACACCCCTCACCACCCTCGACACCCCCGACACCCTGACCACCCTCACACCCCTCACACCTTGTCCGGCAGGCAGGCGCCGTGATTCATGAGTCTTCCTATTTCACTCTTCTTGGAATCTGGGTCAGGGGGCGGTGGCGGTCGGGCCTGCACGTGATTAAGGGGTACTTGGGGGTCAGGAAGAGATGGGGGAGGGGACCCCCTTGCTGGATCGGGGTGGCAGGGGTTCAAGTCGCCGAAGCTCGCCCCCCTCCCCCGTCCCAGTAAGAACACAGGCGACACGACTCCCAAGTGTACAAACGCACTCGGTTTGTTATTTTCTGTCATTAACGAACATAAATTACAAGCAGCAGCAACGAAATCAAGGAAGGACCTTAACGAGTGAAATTATACATCTGTGCGCATGTTGGCTGGTGTCGGTGTTCATCGGTGCTCGCCAACAACAATTGCCCCAAGGGTCTGTATTGTCTTTGTCTTTCACATATCGTGAGCTCACCACCTTTGAGTTAGTGTGTGCGTGTTAACGACCAAGGGCTGTGCGAGTGTGTGGCGGGTTTGTGTGTTCGCGTGTGAGCGAGCGGGGGCGTGTGCGTGTTCGAGTGTCAATCGTGGGAGTGTATTAGCGTGTGTGCGCGGGTGTGTTGTTGTCATGTGCATGTTTTTGTTGTTTGTCACGTGTGTGTGCAGGCGTGTTGTTGTTGTTCGTTGCGTGTGCGGGTGTGTTGTTGTTGTTCGTTGCGTGTGTGGGGGGTGTGGTTCGCTGTGTGTACGGGTGTGTTGTTGTTCATTGTGTGTGGATGTGTTGTGCGCGGGTGGCACAAGCGTCGTGGTGACGTCACCGCCACTTAGTGGCGAATGGCAGTTGTTGTTGTTGTGTGCGGGTGTGTTCGCTGTGTATGCGCCCGTTTCCAGCAACAGGCAGCAAAGCTTCCGCCATTTTGCACAGCCTGAAAAGTGCACCAGCCCCGGCGCAATCTCTGTAGTGACATCACCGCCACTTAGTGGCGAATGGCGGCAGCGGCTGAGTTGCTGCTGCTGCAGATGGCGCCAACGCAGGCGACACCGGGAGGAGGATATCGGTGAACAAACACAGCTCCAACCTCCTTCAAATATGTCCTAGCACTCGGGGGTGGGGATGTGCGAGGGGGTGGGGGAACTGTCTAGGCGGACCCCAGATGTGAAAAGGAGGTAGGGGGAGTGGGCTCACACTGCAGTCCGAGACGCAAGGTCCTGAAGGTCCGGCTTTCGCCCAAGGGGAAGGTAGCACGTCCAAGTCCAACGGCTTCCAATTCGTCTCGCCTGCGATGCATCTCCATCCTCCTCCTTCTGACAGCGTAACGGATTACGGAGGTCAAGCGAGGTCGTGTCGCACAACCAGAAAATAAGCAGTGGCTTACAATCCACCTCCTCCATCTCCCTCCTCTCACTCTTCTTCCTCTTCTTCCTCTCCTCCTCCCCTCCTCCTCCTCCCCCCCGTCTCCTCGCTCGTACCATCCCATGGACTGACGCGATCGGGGCGACTCCCGAGGTCAATCGAGAGTTCTCGTCGCGCCCTCTCGTGGCCGAGCGAGCCGGTCAGTCGTCCTTCCCCGCGTCGGCCCTCGGCGTCACCACCACCTGCACCACAAAGTCCTTGGCAATGCGGGCGTCGACGAGGCGCGTGCGGTCGGCGAGCAGGCGCCCCGAGTAGAACCAGCGCTGGCTCGACGGCTCGGGCCCCTCCAGCGCCTGCAGCCGGCGCTTGGCTTGCAGCACCGTGTCGGTGGTGCGCGCCACCAGCCGCACGTCGCGCCCCATCATTGACACGCGCAGGCGTAGGGGAAGCTCCTGGCCGGGGGGCGGCGGCGGCGGCGCCGACTGGGCGTCTGAGGTCTGGAATCGGCAAAACGGCGCGCGGAGATCCGGTGTTAGGGGGTGGAATTAATCATCGTCCCCACACGTATGCACGCGCACCTATGGCGAGTTTCACGCTCCCAAACGTTTCCGCCACGTTCAAGGTCACGAGGTCGCCGTGGGCAAAGCCGCGGATGCCACCACCGCACCTCGCTCCCGGTGCCTCCCACTTTCCTCCGCCAGATCACCGGCGACACAAAGCGACCTCCAACATCTGCCCTGACAGGAAAAACCCAGCACGCACGTAGCTGCCTGCAATCCAGCACAGTGTGGAGGCAGCAGCGAGGGTTGGTGGATGGCACACGTGTTGCCAAACTCCATTCCCGTGGGCATCGAGAAGGTACCATGAACCGGAGTGCCAGGAGAAGACGGTACAGCCAAGCATGGGGTACTACCATCCGTCCTGTCTGAATGGGATAGCGTGTCGTCCCCAACATGTGGCCTTTCTCCAAGTGCTCCCGTCTCCTTCCACACGGTCAACAGCTCATTCGTTGGATACATCAATAACTCGACATTTATCCCACCATCTAGTGCGATACACACACACCTGTGTGATAGAGTGAAGAAAAAAACCAGGTGTCAGCGACGATACCGTGAACACCAGACACCGTGTGGCCATTACTGCCAAGTATTTGATCCATCAGAGGTTTGTTGGGTTAGATCGCGTAAATATATAATTGTGTCAATAAAACCCGCCACCACCCGCCACAGCCAATTAGTAAGGGTTGTCACGGAAACAGAACGTGCCAATTCGTCACTAGTACAGCACACCGGTGTGTTGGAGAGCCAAGCCACAACATTTACAATCTGAGTACGACGTTTCGCCAGTAATTACAACTAGCTTCATCAGGCGACAGCCAGATTTGTGGAGAAGTCCGCCTGTTGCGTTCCATATATGGAAGCGTAGACCACACTTTTGCGATCTTGCGCAAAGTGGGGGGGGGGGGGATTACTGAGTCAAGGTACATTACGCACGTGCATTATGTGAGCCCTTTGACCTTGTATTTTCTGCAGATCCTGTGACGTGTAATTTACGTGATCACAGCGCCCCCTAGTGGACCCGGCCATGATGGAACCTCAGCTTGGCAAACCAGGGTCAGGGTTAGCATCATGATTAGGGTTTCAATCAAGGTCGGGGTTTAGAGTCAGATCAGAGATTAGAGTTAATTAACTGGAGATAATGACCTTCACATTGAACCCGCATGTATCATCATCGTGATATCTCGACATACACATCTGTGAGGTCGCCCGAATTGTGGAACATCCCTGCGAGTACCGTGCCCAATTATTCCGTCTCACTCTTGCACGCGCATCGCCGTCATGTTCGTGACGCGCGTACGGTGGACGTGTGACGCGACCGCACGTGGGGTCGCCGTGTCGGGTGGGGGGGGGGGGTTGCTGGCGCCACCAACGTCGTCGTGCGCTACCTGCGAGTCTCCGTCCGAGTTGCCCCCGCCGCCCCCCTCCACCAGGTTCACGGGGGGCGCCAGGCAATAGACGGGCAGGCGGTAGCGGTTTCCCAGCTCATCGTAGCACTCCGTCAACGACCCTGCACAGACAACACAAACCCCGCCCGCTGTGTAGCTCACGCAAATCGTCGCGCCGAGCGAGGCTGGCGAACGCCTATGAAGGCCGGCGTGGTGCACGACGGGGTGGCTGTGGTGAGCGCCATACCCGGCCGCCTTTGTCTCCCCAATGCTGATGCGTACACACCGAATCAGTTACTTACTCAGGGTAAGTCGAGGAACGGCCCGGGACCGGTTCAGAGATCACTCGCCACTGATGTTAGTCCTGGCTGGTAATTTTGCAAGCATACCTACGATAATCACCCAGGAATGTCTGTCCTTAACGCTCGTGACGTCACTCCACATCGATCAGCCCCCCTCATTAATATTCATGAGTAGGTGACATCCTCGAAATTGACACCCCCCCCACCCCTCCTCATTAATAATCATGAGCAGGTGACGTCACCCAATATGGAGTACTCCCCCCCCCACTAATAATCATGCGCAAGTGACGTCATTCCACGTCGACCAGCCCCCCTCATCAATAATCATGAACAGGTGACGTCCTCAAACTTGAATTGGCGTTTTCGTGACTGCAGGAATTATTCTTTGGTTCTTTCGGTAAAGTCACGTAGAAATAGAAAATAATAAATTACATAATATCACACGACGTTTCGATTGCAAAGCAATGGACCCCCCCCCTCATTAAAAATCATTATAAGGTGACGTCACTCCACATGGACACCCCCCCCCATTCATAATAATTAGCGGGTGACGTCACTTCACATGGGGGGCCGAGGAGCCTCCTCCCCTTCCTCGGTGTCAACTCACAACCCTCAATACAAAGGCAGTGATCTCCGTAACGCTGTTGAGACATCAAAGTAAAAAGGACGTCATGATGAACAAGGGATTATAACTTTAAAATGAAATAGGTCTGTGCCACTGCACCCTTACAAATTGTACACGCATTAATGCAATGAATGCCACGTCGCGGGCTGCTTTTCGCTTGCAAGTTTCAGATTTACTGCAATACACCCGTCCTTGGACAGGCAAAAGGCGAGTAGAAAAAGAGGGCATAACTGCGGTCGAGGAGACCTGGAGCTTTGTATGGGAAAAGGCCAGGCAGTTTCCACACTGTGTGACGCATCCGATGAAAAGATAATGCTGACATATGTATTTGGTCGACCGCTGCTGCCAAACTGGGGCTGGTCAAGAGTACACTGCCCAAGTATGGGGGGGGGGGGGGGCGGTCCTTGCACTCTCTCCATAGCTGTCCCTTTACTCATGGAGTGCTGAGGGAGTGGAACGTGAGATGACACATTTCCCAGGAAGGTGCATGTTTTGGTGGGGCTGATGGTAAGGCCCCACCTGCTCTGTGGCACGCTCCAGCTTCAGCGGCAGTCACTCCGCCTCAGACTGAGAGATAACTACCAGGTCATCAGTATGCTCAATATGTGTTGGGTCAGGGGGGGAAGTCACCCCTTGACCGCATACGGGGCATCAATCAGACTCCCATTGTATCTGCACCCAAGGGCACGGCCATGGAAAGCTTCTTGCACTACGCGGTTGAGTAAATCATTTTCCACGAGAACAAAACATCGTTCTTAGAAGATTGACTATTGCAATTTTATATTTTGAGATGTGACACAGCGATCGTGAAGCAAACCAAACGCTCGAGTTATTCGAGGCAAGTTTCCAGTTACAATATACCTTGCAACAATGTTGCCCACGTTTCTCCGTTTCACCGGGAGTCGTGGTACCAACGGTGGAACAGAGAATCGACCTCGTCGCCACGTGCACGCCGCGACGTCTAATCGAATCGCCGGGAGGTCGGCGATAATCGTTCAAACGAGCACAGCTCGTTCGCCCGCCCGTGAATGCGTACCGTGCGGCAGCGAGATGCTGGCACCGTCCACGATGGCTTGCGCCAGCTGGTGGTCCCCGCCCTCGAAGGCGGAGGCTGCGGCGCGCAGCGCGTCCCAGATCTCCTTGCGGCCCTCGAAGGCCGGCGCCGTGTCCCAGAACTCGTCGCGCTTGCTGCGCAGCTGCCCCGCCGTCATGGGGAACTCGCTCTTCCATTTGGGGCGCTCCTTGCGCAACGGCTGGTTCCGGCCCAGCGCCACTGCGGGTGGGGACAACGGCGGGGGGCCGACATCGCGCACCGTCCGCTCCTCGCGTCCCACGTCGACAAACTCGCAACCGTCGAGAGGTTCCGAAGTCTCGAATTCGAGCTCCCAGCACACGGAGCAAAGCATCGGACATCGCACCGCATTGTACACGACCACACGTAGGCAAGTCACAACGTGTGACTGATCATCACAGTCATACATCGCTATCGTCATCATCGCCATCACACATTCACCAATACCCGCCATTAGCCACTGAGGGTGACGTGACCACGGCGTCTGTGCCAGGCAAGGTGCACTTTGAGGCCACGTGAAGTGTCGAAGACTCGCTGACAGGAGGACTCGCTGACAGGAGGTCTCGGGACAGACCCAGGTGCTATGAGATGACTGGCAGATGCACCAGATGTACCCCCTACCGTGCCACCTTGCTGCATTTTAGCCACCCGGAGCTCTGCTCATTTTTGTAAGTGTCGCTCCTCTGCTCTGTTTTTATTGGATGGCGACTTCCTCCGACCAGTAGCGTCCTTCACGAGCCTCCTCAATAGAGGCTGATCTTGACACCACTGGTATGTCTTCGGAAAGTCCACTCAGCTCCACATCCTCCCGTACCGCGTCAATCCATCTCTTCTATAGACCGTGTCGTACCAGTTTAGCCCCCTCTATCCAGCCAAACAGAAGCTGCTTGGGCATGCGGGCTACATGACCCAGCAGCCATCATACACACACCATTACCGGCTAGCACCCTCCCACCCCTGCCCCCATCTCCCTGCCCCTAAGCAGGATTTTCTCTCTGTGCCTCAAAGCCGGATGAATTAATCCGCAGATTAATTATTGAGACACGGGGCCCGGGAAGGGGTCAAACCACCCTCTAGGGCCTTCGGACAACACTCCTTGGGCCCCCTGAGTTAATGAACCCGTCTGTGTGTACCTTCCACTGTCACCCCCCCTCCGCACCTCCCGTGGTGGGGATCTCTTGTTTAGATTAATTATTACGCTTGTTTACAAGAATATTTTTCAGAAGGATGCTACCAAGTTATCGCAGTAGACAACGGGTGATGTTGCTATGTGTGAGTGTGTGATCCCAATTTAGTAATCTGGATGTAATTTTCAATCATTGGGATGTGGTTTTGGCCAATGCCAGTTACATTGTTGTGGGTGTTTTAGTTATGGTAGGAAATCGGAGAATCCATAAACCCACTCGCTCACACACTCCCAACACGCTCACATTCAAACACACCCTGCAGAACAGCAGGAGACACATACAAACGTTATAAACGGTGTAGCTTACACTATCTCACTCCCACACACACACACTCATGCTCTATCTCACTCCCACACACACTCACTCATGCTCTCACTCCCACACACACTCACTCATGCTCTCACTCCCACACACACTCACTCATGCTCACACTATCTCACTCCCACACACACTCACTCATGCTCACAATATCTCACTCCCACACACACTCACTCATGCTCTCACTCCCACACACACTCATGCTCACACTATCTCACTCCCAAACACACTCACTCATGCTCACACTATCTCACTCCCACACACACTCACTCATGCTCTCACTCCCACACACACTCACTCATGCTCACACTATCTCACTCCCACACACACTCACTCATGCTCTCACTCCCACACACACTCACTCATGCTCACACTATCTCACTCCCACACACACTCACTCATGCTTTCACTCCCACACACACTCACTCATGCTCTCACTCCCACACACACTCACTCATGCTCACACTATCTCACTCAGACACTCACTAATGCTCACACTATCTCACTCCCACACACACTCACTCATGCTCACACTATCTCACTCCCACACACACTCACTCATGCTCACACTATCTCACTCCCACACACACTCATGCTCTCACTCCCACACACACACACACTCATGCTCACACTATCTCACTCCCACACACACTCACTCATGCTCAGACTATCTCACTCCCACACACTCACTCATGTTCACACTCCCACACACACTCACTCATGCTCTCACTCCCACACACACTCACTCATGTTCTCACTATCTCACTCCCACACACACTCACTCATGCTCTCACTCCCACACACACTCACTCATGTTCTCACTATCTCACTCCCACACACACTCACTCATGCTCACACTATCTCACTCCCACACACTCACTCATGCTCACACTCCCACACACACTCACTCATGCTCTCACTCCCACTCATTCATGTTCTCACTATCTCACTCCCACACACACTCACTCGTGCTCACACTATCTCACTCCCACACACACTCAATCATGCTCACACTATCTCACTCCCACACACTCATGCTCAGAATCCCACACACTCACTCATGCTCTCACTCCCACACACACTCACTCATGTTCTCACTATCTCACTCCCACACACACTCACTCATGCTCACACTATCTCACTCCCACACACTCATGCTCAGAATCCCACACACTCACTCATGCTCTCACTCCCACACACACTCACTCATGTTCTCACTATCTCACTCCCACACACACTCACTCATGCTCACACTATCTCACTCCCACACACACTCACTCATGCTCTCACACTCACTCATGCTCTCACTACCACACACACTCACTCATGCTCACACTATCTCACTCCCACACACACTCACTCATGCTCTCACTCCCACACACACTCACTTATGCTCTCACTCCCACACACACTCACTCATGCTCTCACTCACTCCCACACACACTCACTCATGCCCTCACTCACTCCCACACACACTCACTCACGCTCTCACTCACTCCCTAATTACGTTATCGTTGTTGTGCAGAGCCAGGAAGTGGAAATGCCACTTGTGTGGCGAGGACGAGTAACACCCAGAGAAATCCAATGAGCAGCAATCACTCGGTAGTGGGCAGTGTAAGAGACAGGGGGCAGTGTGACGGGCATGGTTATGGGCAGCGTGACGGGCAGTGTAAAGGGGGGTGGGGGACCCCCCCTTATCCCCCTTGAACTGGGCTCCCTCCCTCCTGCCTTTAACCCTGACCAAGGGGCTGGGGGACAGAGCCCCCCACCCCCCAACCCGGTTGGCTGCCACCCTCCGCTCCCCCCCCCCCCCGGACCCCCAAAAGCAGCGCCCACCACCCCCCCCCCCCAAAAAAAAACCCCAACAGCAGTGTCCACCACCCCCACCCAGGTGCCCCCCATTCGGAGTGTCTGGGGAGACAATGGGTAGACAAGCCCTTGAGGTGATCACGCACACAATGCTGCTGCTGCTGCCGCCAGCCATCGCTTCCTTCCTCCTGACACATATCCCGCAGCTGCTGGCCCGGCGGGAACCGGACACCTGCGATGGCCGCTCTCTGGATCACTCGACGGGGGGGGGGGGCTACACCGCGGAAGGGGGTACGGGGGTATTGGTGCCCCCCCCCATTAATGCCCTCTCTTAACGGGGGTCCCCCCCAGTCCCTCACACAGGGGTCCCAGGACCCCTTCTCACTCACCTCCCGCGCCGTCCGAGTTCTCGTTGAGGCTGCCCGAGGACCCGTGCCGGCTGCCCACGCAGCCTCCCATGGGGCAGTGTGGCCGTGCCCCTGAGCCGTGCCCTTCTCGCACGAGCCGTGCCCACCGTGTTCCTTTTCTCTCAGCCCCAAGGCTCAGCCGGCCGGGTCCAGGTCCCGTGACCCTGCCCCTATCCCTGGACTTGCCCACCTACTCCTGGACCATGCCTCTTATCCCCGAGCCTTGCCCCCTGTCCCGGTCTCTAACCGTATCTCAGAGCCTTGCCCGGCAACTAAGAGCCTTGCCCCCTCTCCCTGGCTCTGCCTATAGAGCACCACAGCATTGCCCCCTATAGCTCGCCGTGCCTATATAACCACACAGCCTTGCCCCTTCTCCCTGCCTACCGAACCCCGCGGCCTTGCCCCTCTCTCCCTGTCTCTGCCTACCGAACCCCGCGGCCTTGCCCCTCTCTCCCTGTCTCTGCCTACCGAACCCCGCGGCCTTGCCCCTCTCTCCCTGTCTCTGCCTACCGAACCCCGCGGCCTTGCCCCTCTCTCCCTGCCTCTGCCTACCGAAACCCGCGGCCTTGCCCTCTCTCCCTGTCTCTGCCTACCGAACCCCGCGGCCTTGCCCCCTCTCCCTGTCTCTGCCTACCGAACCCCGCGGCCTTGCCCCCTCTCCCTGTCTCTGCCTACCGAACCCCGCGGCCTTGCCCCCTCTCCCTGTCTCTGCCTACCGAACCCCGCGGCCTTGCCCCTCTCTCCCTGTCTCTGCCTACCGAACCCCGCGGCCTTGCCCCTCTCTCCCTGTCTCTGCCTACCGAACCCTGCGGCCTTGCCCTCTCTGTTTTGCACTCGGGCGCCGCGAGCCCCCGGGGGGGCGGGGTCACGAGGGGGTATGTGACATCACGAGCACGTGCGCGGGGGTCGTGACGACACTTCCGCCTCGGGACGTCACGCGCGAGGCCGCGCAGACTCCGCCCCCATCCACCCTCGTGCGGGTTCTTAGGGTTCAACTACGACAGATCCGCATTCGTGGGCTTATGAAAGGGGCATTGCCCGAAACGTCGCCTCTTATGTTGATCCTGCGAGTGACTAATACGTGAATCCATATCAGTGGGTAACTATTCACTATTGAATGTAATTATCATCAGGACCCATGGTGCAAACACGGGCAGTCTTCATCTCTAATTCACAGCCGTCAAACCCGAAACGTCGTGAGAATATTATTTTATTTTATCAATTTATTATTTTAGTCTCATTCTACGTGACTTTACCGAAAGAACCAAAGAAGATTACTCCGTAGTATCAAGGAAATTTAGTTTTCAGCTCCATGCGGCGTACAGCCGTTTCAATGCAGGCAACAACCAAAGTGTATTTTTTTGTGTTTTCCTTGTGATGGGACTTTGTAGGATGAACGTTGAGATTTAGAAGGGCACGGGGTGACCAATAAGGTCTGAATTGTCTGTAACACCGCAGGAGACTGATATATCACATGTAAGCTAAATCACCGTGCTATAAAGAGGTCATATTACCCGAGACGGCGCCTGTTGTGTCGAGTTCTTGCTGTTGGCTGTGCACGCCCGCCATTGCAGCGTCACCAAATCCTTTTGTTTCTGGGCGAGGCCACGTGTTTGTGATTTTATGCCACACGTTGTGAACCCTCTACCAACCCGATACGATTGTCAGGTTTACAAAGCTGATGTAGTGATCACATTCTGACTAAGAACGCTTCTCGGGTGGATTGGGCATCTTTGAAAAAGCTTCATAGCTCATCGAATTCCTCCAGTTTAAATATTCGGATTATTTTAAAAACTGAACCTAGAATGTCATAAAATAACAGACAAGTCGCTTCCTTCACGTGTATGTCCACATAAAATAGAACTTTTTTTTAACACATCCTATCAGCCACGGCCTTCTGGGGAGAGTGCAAAATTTCAGCAGTAATTGGTTCAACGCAGTGGACCGGTTGTAACCTTTGATGCCTCATCTGCAGTCGGCTTCACTTCAATCGATGCTGAACTGCCAGATTGTACAGGCAAGGGCCCTGTTGTGTTTGATGGTGGTCTTGGTCGACGCAAAACTTTTAATACACAAGACAAAATAGCAATTAACTTATTTAGAATAACCTATTCCAGTAACCACATTCTCCACAGCAGCAATTATTTAATACTAACGGTGCCAATGATCGCTTTACTATACGCCAACAAATTACTGCGACTCTTAGGGGGAAGAGGTTGGCAGACCTTTAGGCGTCTCCGACAAGTCGCGGAAGAGTGAACGAGGTTGCTGCTGCTACCGCTATAAAGGTGCAGCAGCAGCATCGGGATGATGGTGGTGATGGCCACGTTCCAGACGGTCAGTGGCTGCCCGGACAGGGTAAGACGTGCAACGTATACGTGCACAGCCATCGTGTCAATCCACTGCTGGATGAGGGCCTTCTGACGGGGTGTGATAAGATACATGAACTTTAGAATCAGATTTTAACCAATTGATCTGCACGCTCTTTTGCAAGATATACGTGCCATGAAAAACAAGGGTTGTGGTGGTGGTAAAACCGTCATCATTATGACCATCACTCCTGGCATCAATACTCGCGTGAATCGTGGCTCCCCACACTCAACTTCTCTCCCTTTTCCACAACCAGGGTCTCCCAAAATTTGCCATTCACACGTAACAAACAAATCCTTTCCTCCGTAATACTGCCATAAGGCGAACAAGTATATAATGGAAGACGTTTCAGGCAATTGCCCTTCACAGCACGAAACTATGCAAGAGAGATAGAGATTCACATGTAAGACAGGCCAACAATCGCATCATGTTTATTTAACAGATTTTAAAAAAGATCAGTGACTGTAAACGTGTTGGTATTCACTCAGGTGTGAGCCAGTGTGCCCTTGTGGGTGTGCTGGTGTGTGCCTGTGCTGTGTAGCAGCAAAGTACACCTAGCCTGGGACAAATGCTATCTTGACGTCACCGCTACTTTGTGGCGAATGGTGGCTGTTGCTCCTGCGCTGCTGGTAGGGGTGTGGGTGTACTTAGCCTGGCACAGGTACTCTTGGGACGTCACCATCATTGAGTGGCCAATGGCGGCTGTTATTGATGTTGATTGGTGTGGGCGTGTTGCTTGTGTGTGTGCTAGCATAGCTGGTGTGGCTGCACTGGGGTGCCTGTGATGCTGGTGTGCTGCCGGTGCCAATGTGGTTATGTCTGCAGGTACTCGGGCTGCACCCGTGCCACCTTGCGGTATTCCTTCGCGTGCGTCTTGGGGCACTGCATCTCGCACCAGCTGATCGGCACCATTTGCGCTCCTAGAAGAGGTTGGGTCAGGTCACCAGGGTCAGAGTTGCAGACGTTAAATCGGGTGGTATGTTATGTCCATCTTTACAGCGATTGTGTGCGAGTGTCATATGGGAGTGGCAGTGCCGTAGTTTGCATGCCGCGCGAAGAACCAGGCAACCAAGTTCGAATCCCAATTATGGCCAACATCAGTGATGAAAGTCTGGCATGGTCCTGAGCCTCAGAGGTCGATTCAGCCTTAAATAGCACTTGGCATTGTATGTAAATATCACCACTGGGGAAACAAATGCGGCCGGGCGTTTTGCTAGCCTCACAACCCCCTCATGAGCCGTGTTGGCCTTCATAGGTGTTTGCTAACGGCACTTTTGCCAAGAGCCCGTTGAGGCTATAAGGGGGACCTTAGTCTCTGTATTGTACAGCGTGGTCTGTATGCCGTATGCGTGCGCGTGTGTCATAACCTCACCTGCCTCGCTGTGCCCCACTACCACCCCCAGCTCGTTCTCGGCAGTGCTCAGCAAGTAGGATTGCGAGTCGCCCAGTGAGATCTGGAGTCAGTGCCGCCGGGTCAGGGAACGAGCAACGTCGTGAACATCACCACCGAGAACCTGGGTTCGAATCTGGGTTACAACTGCCTCCGATTAAACCGGGATCTCAAGTGCAGTGAGTTGATGGTCTGAGCCCAGTCACCAATGACTGTACAAAAAACATTACACGAAATTTGGCTAAATTTCAGCTCCGAGCATTAAAAAACATCGGTTTGAAATGACGGAATTACTCCCTGTAAGCAGGATAGGTGGGAAAGGCCTGTTATATTGAAGGATCAGAAGGCACTTGAATGCATTTCAGAGATGGTTGTGATATCTGCTTCTGGATATCACTTTTTGACCAAAACACAAGTCATTGCAAGCAGACAATTAAAACAAAAACTCATCTCGAGCCGATCCAAATGGCACAATTTTGCACCCTTCAAACCACAGCGAAGTAAATCTGATGCGCTGACAAAACGCACGGCGCTTCAAGGATACCACCCGTGCCAGGACGATGTCTCCGGGCCGAAAGGATTTGTAGATTTCCACCTGCATCGACAAGACCAAAGTTAGGTGAGGTTGACAGATCACGTGGAGATCATTGTTCTTTACTCGCTCAAGCGAGGTGACCAGGTGACCCTGTGACCCCGTGAGCCACTGCGACGGAGCTCGCCGACGGCCCCCTGTACCTTGTCTTTTTCCGTCGCTCGAACGTCTTCTTTCCTTGAAACAAAAAAAAAACATCGAGGGATGTCGGTCATTGCAGTAGGTGGCTCCATGTGACCGACTCAAACATGCTTTTCAGTGGGTGCCAGGGCCGCTGAGGAGACACTCACCGGATGGTCCCCCGGAAGATGCCCTTAAGAGGGGTAGACCCCACAAAGAGGATCTGGCACCGGGCAAATCGAGGGTTAATGCTGCTGATCTGGACATGGGGGCATCAGGAGGAGGGTACAGGGGTGAGGGTAAGCATGGTTAGGGTTATAAGACTCCACCGTGGCCACCACTGCCACCACATCTGTACCACTATCATCGTCGCCACCACCAGCACCACTACCATCATCACCATCATCACCACCACCGCCATGCCGAGTCGGAGCTGACCTTTCCCGTAACGATGACGCCGATCTCGGGAACGAGCTGCGTGTTCGTGTCGCGCACCACCTCCATCACTGGCAGCTGTGGAGACATCACCACCTCGGTCAACATCGTCGGGACCCCGGCCTGCTTCCTCCTTCGTGCGCTCTCCGTTGAGGGCAGGCGAGGGGTGCGTGGCAGGCTGCGACCAGCATGCGGCGTCCATCACAACCGCACCCCGAGTTTTATCATAAGGATGCCAGACCTCCATGTGAGGCTGAGTAGTCAGCATAGGGAATGATACGAGGTGCACTTTCCGCCAAAAGATTAGCGAGTTAGGGAAGTGCCGGGAATTGGCAAGGGTTCTCTCACTATTCACGTGTGGTCTTCTCTCTCCCCACTCACTCACTCTCACTACCTACTCACTCACTCACTCTTGTCTAGCTCTTGGCTGAAACAGCCCCGCAATTAACGAGGGATTTGGTGTCAACGGATTCTTGAGTAGGGAGCGAGAGGCTTATTTTGGGTCCTATTGGGCTGTTGGAAGAGGATAAAGGTTGTGTTTGTAAATGAAAAAACCCCATAATTTACAGTCCTTTTGTCAATCCACTACTGAATTAAGGCCCCCCCACACCAAGTCATGGGAGTTGTTTGACCATAATTTACCACACTGGTCAGTGTGGGTTGGTGTAAAAAAAACAAGACCAGTTTATATTTCTCTCTTCTTTTCCTTTTTTCCCCATCCTGGTCCCCACTTTGCAGGTCACAGTCAGTGCACATCTCAACCACCTTTTCGAGTATCGGTTTGTGTAACTGTAAATGCTCCGGTGCGTTTAATTGTTGCACTCTTGCTGAAAATACAAATAAAATAGAGAAGTCACTCGGCACTGGTCTTAGCCGAAACTGCCACTTACCAAGCCACTGTCATCGGTTCGTCGCCGCCCATACCCAGCCAAGGACGCGAAAAGGTACCCGTGGCGGGAGTAGGTGCCACTGCCCTCCCTGCACTCCTCCGCGCTGCACAGGCGCTCACCTGGGTGGGATACACACGGCACAACAGTAACGTGACTTAACGCGTTTCACTCAAACTGCTCTGAGCTTGATGCATCACGCCACACATAGCACGAAATCGATATCATGGTAATGTTAAAGGTTTTTTTTTTCTCATTAAATGTTAACGCTGGCATTGAACAGCCCGAGACTAACGCGAGAGAAGCACTTTAATGTTATTCTGCGCGAATTTGGCGGGAGTATACTTACAGTGTATATATAATCGTTTAAGTCTACAATAATGCATATTTATACTACTTTATTGTATAATCAAAGCAATTACAAGTTTGATCCACTACACTTCTGCAATCAACTGATGAAGACCTCTCCCTCCTCACCACCACGCTGATTGGTGCAGGGTAGGCCCACAACCGGTTCTGCTGCTACACTCGCCACTGACGCTAGGCTAGGAACTTAATTTCGCCGGGTTTCAGATGCAGTCTGCTTACCACTACGCCACCACGTACAACGTGAGAATTTAATTGTTTTATTTTATTATTTTATTCTCATTCTACGTGACTTTACCGAAAGAACCAAAGAAAATGTTACGTGTATTAAATCGCGTTGAATAATTGTCATTGTGTCCGGTGTGGTGGCGCAGTGCGTAGCGCGCTGCGCTGTAAAATCCCGGCCGTCCGAGTAGGCCTTGGCAAGGTAAAAACAACGAGCCTACCTTTTACCCTACCTTTTACCTTACCACAATACAATCACTCTACCCTACCTTTTACCCTTCAGCAGGTAAGGTAAAAGGTGAAAAGCAACGAACCTACCTTTACCCTACCTTTTACCCTTACCCCATACAAATTACCCGATAACAGGGTAATTACTGGGGTACTACACATGAAAAAGAATACTCTCGATTATTCCAATTTTACACGCTTCTTTAAACTCACTGTTGTATCCTCAAATCTTGTAACTCAATTTTAATCCACTTCCCAATGTGGTTTCGACGGCAAACTTGGTATATCTATGTCATACTGATGACAATACTATATTCTATCATTAAAAATAAAATAAAAATATTTTTAAACATGTTTTATGTTATGTTTCGGCTTGGGTCTAATTGTCCACTGTCAACTGACGTTGGCTGTAATTGGCCACGGCCCCTTACGTTGTGACAAGCTTCGGGGCCACTTCCTGGAGTCGTGGAGTTCTGCCATTACTAGTACATTTCATAACAGCGTGTTTTTTTAAGTTTAAAAAGTATTACTTATTAAATGGAGGCCACGGACTGCGCCACGGAGCTTTTAGCAGTAAACAAGGCACCGTATTTGCCGGGTAATACTTCACGCTACCTTTACCCTACCGGGTAATTCTTCCGAGCTACCTTTACCCTACCCTTTACCTTGCCCCTTGGCATGTCGACACCTTTACCCTTTACCTTTACTCTTACCTTGCCGAGGCCTACGTCCGAGATTCGATGCCTGGGCTAAGGCTAACACCACTGGCAAATGATATCTGAACCGTTACCTGGGCCTCCCTTTGACCAATTCCGCACAGAGTAACATAGCGGGACACGGTCAAACAACCCCCACGACCGACACGGCGTACAGGGGTATTCATCCAGCAGTGGAGCGAGCAAATCGCTCTCAAAAGCAATTCACGCGGTGCCACACACCTGGTATGCACGCTCTGGGGGCCGCCATGTTGAAACGGCCACCTCGAAAAAACGGCCGATCTAATTGGTCAGCGTCTCGTCCAAAGACCGCGCGGCCGATTGGTCGGACTTGAGAATGACGTCACCGGCGCGGAATCCTATTTAGGGGAGTGGGCGCGGCGTTGCAGGAGAAAGCGAGTGGAGAGAAGATGGCGCGGTGCGGCTGAGGTCGCGGTGGGGCGGATCTGGCTCCACCATCCGCGTCCATCCTCGTTGCCCGGGCCGTTTCACCCCCTATCCCGCACGTAGGCGCTCGCCCAGTAACCGCGGGAGTTGGTCAGGGGCCACATTTGTAATAAAATGCCTTGTTTTTAAAACAAATTGGAGTGGTTGAGGACGATGCCGCGTGGAGCCAAGATGCAGCCACGAGGAGCCAAGGGTGAGTTGTGGAGCTAGAATTGAGTCGCTTGTAGCCAGGGTTGAGTGGAGCCACGTGGAGACCCGGGTTGGCCCACGTGGAGACCCGGGTTGGCCCACGTGGAGACCCGGGTTGGCCCACGTGGAGACCCGGGTTGGCCCACGTGGAGACCCGGGTTGGCCCACGTGGAGACCCGGGTTGGCCCACGTGGAGACCCGGGTTGGCCCACGTGGAGACCCGGGTTGGCCCACGTGGAGACCCGGGTTGGCCCACGTGGAGACCCGGGTTGGCCCACGTGGAGACCCGGGTTGGCCCACGTGGAGACCCGGGTTGGCCCACGTGGAGACCCGGGTTGGCCCACGTGGAGACCCGGGTTAATTTAAGTGGATTCCTGATTGGGTCCCAATATAAAACGACGTTTCGGGCAATGCCCCCTAAATTCGGCAAAAAAGCGTAGTTTGGTCTCATCTGAGTCGAGTGTACACTCCCCAGCCGACGGCTAAGTCAAGCGAACCAACGTGAGAATGTATTATCAGCACACCGGTGTGTTGGAAAGTAAGACTACCGGTACTCCCCCAATATCGGGGGTGCTGCTAAAGCAGTAATTAACTTAGTCACGCTCCCCCCCGAAAAAAGCGCTCAAGTATAAATCATAATCTTCAGTCGCGAAAGTAAACGTGAGCATCGCGATCAATGGGCAGATAAGCCCCGTAGGCGTCCACTTAACATTTCACCAATTTTCATTTTGTCCTGGTGCGAATACGCCCCATCTCTCTAGCACCAATCTCTTTGTCGTCAAGACATTTATTCTCTGCGAGGTCTTCCTCTCCTTCCTGGTTCCATAAATTTTAGTCTACGCGCGTTACACTGCATACTGTTTTATATTTTTTTTGTTACGTTTCACATCACAGGTAAAGAGGAGGCTGCGGAGGAGGAGGCGGGTGCGGCGAACGCGACCGCCGCCGTGGACACGAGCGCCTACAGCGTGGAGGAGCGCCTCGTGGCCAGCGTGTGGGTGCACGAGCGCCGCCACACGGGGGACACTCTCGCAGGCCTGCGCACCCGCTTCGTGGCGCGCTTCGGTCGCGAAGCGGCGCCCACCAAGGCGTCGCTGCTCAAGTGGGAGCGCAAGACGTTCGCCACGGGCTCGGTGCGCGACCTGCCCCGCTGCGGCCGCGCCTCGACGCGTCGCGCCACGTGCGCCGCCGTGGCCGAGTCGGTGCGCCGCTATCCCGGCAAGTCCACGCGGCAGCGCTCGGCCGAGCTCGGGGTGCCGCGGTCCACCATGAAGGACCACATCAAGAAGGACCTGCAGGGGGGGGGGGAGGTGCGGCAGCAGGAGGACCAGCAGAGGCGGCTGCCGGTCTTGTACAGCGGGTCGCCCCAGAGCCGGCTCGAGCCGAACACGGCGGCTCCGGGAGCGGCGGCCGACGATGTCGGTGATGGTGGTGGTGCCGGTGATGCCGAGGGGACTCCGCGTCTAGATGCGTGATCGGCCATCGTTGAGAGATAAAGTCGAGATATCTGACATCTCATCCATCCAGCCGTGAGCGAGCGGAGGCGAGGGGGTGGACAAGGATGGACGGGCCGAGAGCTGAAATCAGCAGGAGTCGGGGAAGAGGTAAGCGTGCCGTAGAGTCTGGGTGGGGCCGATTTAGAGCCACGGATGAGCTCCACATTGTCCGTGATGGGGGCAGTGGACAACCAGCCGGGTCGGCTTTCGCGACCAATATCATCCAGGGTCATCGTTAAATCAGTGTACAGGTAGGGGTCAGTAGAGAGCCATTGAGCACCGTGACTGAACCATTATTGGACATGCGTCTGTAGGCAACGGTCAGCGGAGCACCTAGCGGTCAGCTCTGCGCAATTGTCGAGTCATTCAGTCTATGGACACGCACAGTTGTGTAACCAAAATAGTCTGCGAGTATCAAGATCAACTATTTTTGTTTAGCAGATAAGGCCGGCTGAGTTCAGCTCAAATAAGTTGTCCTATCTTGTGGACGTTGATTCTAAATTTGGAGGGAAAAACCGGATCACACGGAGTTTAAACCCATGCCACCACAGGGGGAGCGTGCAAACAGGCTGCAGCGCCATGCAAGCTCCCAATATGCTGGTGTCGGAATCGAACCCACGATCACCTGTATACCAGGCGCCATTGTGGCGCCCAATATATATACACACACACTATACTGTATACACAGCAGGGTGTGCTGCGTGTGTAACCCAGTGGTTAGTCAGCCGCCCGGGCTCCCGTGCCCGGCGCAGCGTTACACCGCTGGGAGAACAACGGCCCCCCAGGGCTCCCCCGTTCCCTCTCGTCGTCTTGACGCGGGGGCAGCGGGGGGCAGGGGGGCGGGGCCTGCTCGAGAGTGGGCGGGGCTTGCGCCGTCGGCCCCGCCCTAGTCAGCGCGCCTACAACACCACGCGCGCGCTCACCCACGTGATGATAGAGCCGAGTCTTGTCCATGTAGCGGTCTCCAGCGTTACGTACAACAAAGACAATGCCGTATGGACTTAAGAAAAGTGCTGTTGGTGAGCACCTATGAAGGCCCGGAACTACTCGAGGGGGTGGCCGCCTTTGTCTCCCCAGTGGGGATATTTATACACTGCACCAAATACTAACTTGAGGCTGAGTCGACCTAGGGGTGGGCCCAGGACCGGTTCAGATAATCGTTGCCGTGAGCGGGAATTGAACTCGGGTCCCTGGCTCAGGGCGCGAACTGCTACAATTTGCTCTTGTTTACGTATAACACGCAATTTCCACAGGCCTAACTCTAAAGTGGTGGCCCCTTGAAATGCAATAAACACAAGCAGTCTGAACAAGTCTAAATATTGCTTGTTCACTCGGTATAGGCTGCACCTTGCAAACGAGATGCTCACCACAAGGGATTGTCCTAGTGAACAATGTAGTTACATTAAGTTTTCCAATTGAAAAACATTGATTCTTAAACGTGTACTAGGGGAACAGCATGAGCTTACAGAAAAGATACTGCCTCCCATGGCACGGCACACCTTCACACATTCAATCAGCTGCACGTGCCTTCTGGGAGTAATTTCCAGATTGTTTCAAATAAACCAAAGTTCTGGTATTGGCATTCATTGTCCCATCAGTCAGGCTTGGCTGAAATCAATGCTGATAGAATCTAGCTTCAGAATAGGTTTCAGTATAACTTGATCTTTCATGTGTATAAGTAAACTGAAGGCAATGTCCAACAAGTTGTTTCTGCTCCTGTCTTGCAGGTGATGGAGGGGAAGGAAACCCCCACCACCCCTGTGGCTGCTGGGTCCAAAGGATTTACTCTGGAAGTTTCTGCATTGATTAGATTCTCTGCGATTTATGCAAATGATATGGTAACAGTACACACTTGAGGAATGAGACATTTTACAAGAGCCTGCAAGTTCTGGTTTCAATAAAGCCGATTTTTGTGAAGTTCTGTCTGGCCCTGAGTGTTGTGGAGGAGTGCTGATTAAGTCAAGAGCAGGGGTGGTGGTGTGATATTTATTACAGTTCAGGGGAGGGGTTGGTGTGCACAAAGTAAACAAGGGATTGTTGGGCCATGAGGGTGAGTTCAGTGCACAATTGTCAACAAGCTACACTGAACTTCATTTAAACTAGTAGCTAAAGTCTACTTCAATGGCAAGTGAACTAACTTAACTTCAAGCCAGCTGATAAACTATCCACCTACACAACTGCACTAAACCAGGAGCCTCTGCTAAACCGCAAAAGGCACTTAAATTGTGTAAAGTAGCACTTATTTACAGGAGGGAATGGAAAGCACTAACATGGGATTAAAAAAAAACTTACCCCCAAAATAACCTACCCTTGAGTTTAAATGTCACAAATTTCTAGTAAAGTGGTTTCAGGGGAGGAAAATAACACTGCAGTATATAAACAGCCATAATACGAATTCAAAAAACAAATCACAACCATTTGAGCTACATGCAACAATTCACTTTAAATGTCAAACCCTATGGCCTGAGAAATATGACTGCTTCAGGCAATGGCCCTTCACAGCACTTACCCACCATAAGTCATGAACATTGTTTTTTTAACTTAACTTTTAAAACTGGTACCACAGCCTATTGCAGCAAATAAATTAAAATATGAACTGGTCCTTAAAATTCCAGGAAACCACTGCAGTCAGTTACTTCTAATCACATGCTGGCACATTAAATATTTTCAAACGTTCTGGTTTAAATGTTACACTACAGCAATAAATCCTAAATATAAAAAACACTAATCTCAACACCATTTCACCCACACAAGCAGTTAACCACTCAACCATAGAGGATCATAGATATTTTTGTTTGGGTTTTAAAATAACACCAATTTATCACAAGTCCTAAATTAAAATATTCAAAGGTCACTCATACTACACAATCACGCACACTGGCAGAGAACCATTCCTAAGATGGAGGCACCAAGAGCACATGGGCTCCACATCGTGCAGAGGGAGCAGCAGCCCTCCCCGCACCCCAGGTATTCTCTTGAAGCCCCTGCTCCCCTAATGCATCAGAGCCACGGCAGTGTGAGGCCCTGCTGGTATGGGTGGTTTTCCACCATCTTATTTGAAGTAGAGCCAGATAAATTCTTAAACTGGTTTCACAAGACATCTTGGATCTGGCTTGGGGGTTGAGCAGGATCAGAGGTAATTGTCAGCAGCAAAAGATTGGAATCTGTAGTGGGAAAACCTACCCAGTACCTCGTGCCACGTTGGGCTGGCTCAGCATGGCCTTGACAAGGCTATATTGTACAGTGGGAACAGAGGCATCGAGTCCCTGGGTTGCTTGAGAGTTCCAATGCCACGCATGGGGTTCCTGGGTCTCAAAGTTCCCGGAGTCTGTTCCTTCAACTCCCTGGGTGTCCCGAGTTGCCCCGGTCGCTCGTGGAATCGCAGAATGCCTCATTGAGCCACCCGGGTCTTCTCTTGGGAGTTTTCCAGGCCTCTTATGGAATAACCAAGTCGGAGCACTGCAGTCCCTTCGTGTTTCCCCCCCCGATTTGCTCAACGAGTGTGGGCCTCAGGTGGTGTGCAGGCGCGTGAGCAGCGCCACAGCGGTGCTGCGGGGCCGCGTGTGAGCCCACGAGCGGCTCTTGCTGTGGAAGCGACGCAGCTCATCCTTGAAATCCTGGTGCCGCATGGGGCGGTACGCGCTGGGGTTGCACATTTCCTGCCGCACGCATGCGCAAACACGGGACCACAGAGTACGTGTCAAGGCCGTCACGGTGCTTAATTGTTTTCATTTTACTTTACTCAATTGGGATTAAACAGCAGCGATATCATCTGCCCCCCACCCCCAACTGCAAACAATTGGCAGGACCATCCTTAAAGTGTTGAGACTCAGCGAGGCTTTCCTCAGTAGAAAAGTAATAGTGTATTAGGGAGCATTTATATGAATTCACTCCAGTCACGTGCTCACCAATAGTCACCTGCTAATCCATTAACTTTACTCAATTCAAAGAACGTGTTACACTTATTGCAGTTTTGATAGTGCTGTTTGCAACTGGCCACTTCATGTTTTGGCCCTGCGCTCGTAAAATGAAAAACAAACAAAATTATATGCATAAATATCTATCACGAGATGTGTTCTATCCACTGCTGGATGAACACCTCACTCGTTACCACGTTCTTGCGACGCCACACTCCAGTTGAACTTCTGCACGAGTTGCTTTTTTGTTGGTGACGTTATGGTCGCGTTAATGTGTTTATGGTGGTGTTAGGTGTGATGGTGGTCGGGGTGTTTATGGCAGTTTGGTCTACAGTGGAAAAGCTGGCAACCATATCTATACGAAGGTGGTGGTGATGTTATGGGAGAATGAATGTGATGGTGCTCTGGTGGTAGGCAAGTGTGGTGGAGGGTGAAGGGTGATGGCTGTGGTGGTGGTTTTAGTCCCGTACCGGTGTGTGTGGGAAGAAGTCCTTATAGCCCCCTCGCAGCACGTACATCTCCGGGTAGTGCAGGGTTGGGTACGAGTTCACCTCCCGGTCCATGCGCCGCAGAGTCTGGCACCTGCAGCCGCGCGGCGTGACACGCGCACACACACAGCGTTAGGACCGTACCCGCCGCAGTCACGCCAGCTACGTCACCTTAGCAGACAATGTGGGCGTGTTTAAGAAATATAAATTTCATCATGGGACCTCCTTTGCCAGTACCAAAATATGTAAATAGTGGTTAATGCAGACATGATTCCTTGTAAAAGGTTTCAGTTTGGCGTTTTCACATCTTAACACCTGTTTTGTTGCCAGAAAAAAATGGGAAAACCTATTATCATATAAATTTCAACTTGTAACGCGCCGCGGTGGTCATTCGCTTGCTCTAAGGGAGAAAACGACTGAGACGCAAGGAGGAAGCACAGACAAGCGGGAAGGCAGCAGCCACGCGGTGAGCTGACGCCAGCAGCTGCCCAAGCTCTTCAGTCCTCCATATTAAACGGTGTTATCGGCCAATTATTGAGTATACATGTGGGAGGAAACGCGTGCAAGGGGGAGACAACAACCCCATCCTACACAGGTGGAGTCCTCATTTTAGCTGTAGCGCCTTTTCCTGGCGAGCCAGGGTACGCCTCCACCTTGACACCCAAAAGGAAAGGATCACTGTTGCTATAGGCTGGTGTCAGTATGTGTTATCTATGGTAGTGGCAGGGACAGATATAAAATGGTATTGGGGGGCAAGATGTAAGTGTGGCATTGATGGGGATGTGGTTCTATTCTTGCAGTGGAAATATGGTTCAGGAGCTCGGTGCCAATGTCAAGGTCTCCTGGTCACGATGAGAGGGCTTCAGGAGAGCTCGTGTAGTTTTGCTGTTCCTCCTCCACTGAAGGATGAGACTACAGCAGTTAACCACGTGGTCCAGCGTCTTCGAGGAGGATCGTTAAAGCCAGGAGGTGTGCTGCCGTTTGCGTCTCGAATGAGGCGTTTATTCCGGACGTGGGTGTGCAGCGCAGTTGCCAATGTTGGGTTGGGCCGAGGGGGGCACTCACTGGCGGGGGCCCCGCTCGGAGGAGAACTCGCAGTAGAACACGAGCACCAGCTGCTCGCTCGCCGGTGAATTGGGGGCTGGGGCTCCCCGCAGCAGCTGCTGCACGAGTTGCTCCTCGCGGAAGAGGTTGAGGGCCCCCCGCACGTGGCCACCCTCAAACTCGTAGGGGTAGCGGCAGTCGAGCACCAGGAAGCGCGGCACGGAGTCGGAGAATTCCCCTCGCAGCAGAGCGGCCATCTACACAGGCAAAGATCCCCAGTAGAACCTTAACAGACTGTAGGTAGGTAGGTGGGTCAGCACAATGCCCAGCCGTCTTTGTCTCCCCAGTGATGATGTTTACACACTGCAAAGGCCAAGTAGACTTCAGGGAGGTCCAGGACCGATTAACATATTAATTACTGGTGTTGGCCGTGAGCGAGAATCAAACTCGGGTCACCGGGTTTATATCACAGTGCGATAACCACTGCCCCATCGCTCCCCACACAGATATACTGTATATACACAAACGCAGCTACTCACAAATGCACGCATGCACAGACAACATGCACCAGCACACTGGGATACATGTACATGCTATGCACGGATAAACAAGTTTGTACACACAGACACTACGAGCTGTGGTGTAATAACGTGGTGCTGTCTTGCGTTACGTATGTGTGTGGCGTCGACATTTTATTGTGGCAATCCCGTGATCCGACGATATGGTGCAGTGTTGGGGGCAATATATCTTGCGGTGCGGCATTGCCAGGGTGTAGCGGCGGTGTGGTATGTGTGCCGTCACTCACCGTGTCCTGGGTGATGTAGTTAAGGTCCTGGTGCTTCCCGGACACCGTGGGCAGCGAACACGGCTGTGGGGAGGAGTATAGTGGGGGGGGGGGGCACGCAGGGAATTAGCCGATGACTTTTAGCGACTCCCTGCCTCAGTCAGCTGGTCCAGCCAGTCAAGTGATGCGGTCAGGTGATGCGAGGTGGAGGGGGGACGGGAAGTTAGGTGGGAGTCGGGGGCAGTTTCTCACTCACCCGAGAGAAATCTCCCAGCATCTTCTCCTCGTCCAGACACGCGTCCAGCGCCTGCTGCACAGCCTCATGGTCCCACATTCCTGTGGGCGCCTTCAATGGCGGCGGCGACAGCGATGGCGCCGACGGCGATTGCGGTGCTGACGGTGGCGCCAAGAGGGGGGCGATCGCACGGCGCCGCTTCTGCATCAGCGACTCGGCCGTGCTCGCCCGCTGCAAAGGGCGCTTGAGGCACCCCGTGGGCGACCCGTCACCGGGGGTGAGGGGAGACAGGGGGGTGCGCGGTCCCCTCCACAACTGCAGCCCTCCGCTGCCGGGAGGCGGCGGGTGAAAGACCCCCGCTGCCGGCGACACCATGGGCGCGGTGAAGAGGCTCGCCATGCTGAGAGGAACCTGAACACGGCAGGGAGAGGGGTGCAGAAGGCACAACATGAGCAGGCGCTGAATCCTACTTGACGAGGGGGGGGGGCGGAGGTGGGGGGGCAGAGCCAGACCACGAGCAGCGAGCCAGCAGTGGCGAGGGTGAACGGCGAGTCACCACAATTAGCCACCAGTCAGAGTGAACAGGCAACACTGGGTATCAGTGAACATAGCAAGCCAGCACATCAAGGGGACCTAATGTATATGCGTTTGTTTTGGCACCGATTGTCATTTGCTTCACTGCTGTATCTGTTCTCCTGGCCCCTGCCGTACCTGACCTCGTACCTGGCAGTTCTCTTTGTTGACGTCGTCTTGCAGCTTGTGGGAAAGCGGGGTGAGCTGAGCGAGCAGGGCGAGCGAGGCAAGTGGGCTCTCGGTGCCGCTCACCGGCGTGGGAGTTGCACAGTCAATTTTCCTCCGCCTGGGAAGGGGGGAGGGAAAGTGGGATCCACAGTTACGCGCCAGTTGGAGAATCGATGGATTCTTGAATCCATCCGTGCGGAGCCTGATGCGTTTTCCCCCTTGTGTGTGTGGTTTCTCCCGATTCTTCCACACGAAGCCAAACACCCTCCCCCCACCCGCTTCCCCCCCCTCACTGGCCCCCTCATTCACAAAGGAAGCCTGAGAAGAGAGCACCTGCTGGTGTCCCTTTCAGTTAGAGACCCCTTCACAGAGATCTTTCAAGGAGACCCCTTTACCCAGCCTGGACAGGGGGGGTCCCAGCAAAGTGCGTGCGCACACACACAGCACACCACAGATGCACCCACCATTCACATAAGCCACTATCACACCACTCGCACACACACACACACACCACTGATGCATACAACAATCACAACATCAAGAGCCGCCATTCGCCACTGTGGCGGTGATATCACCACAGCGCTTGTGCCAGGCCGTGTGCTTTTGAGTACACCGTTCACACACAACAGACATGCAGCATTAACATACGCACGTCACACACCAATCGCATGCACCACACGAAGCATGCCAATTACGTACACGCCCCATTCGTACACCACAACACTGCCCGTACTAAACCCTGATGCTCACCTCCTCCTCACGACCACCTCTTCTTCCACATCCTCACCCCGGCAGCTGCTCCTGGTGGGAGAATAACGAGGGAGATGAAGTCACGTCAAAGTGTGCACACGATTTTAGAGCAGTAGTATAGTGCAAAGCGCTGTGCTACAAACCCGATTACCCGAGTTTGCTTCCCCCTCACAGCCAACACCAATGACATTTATCTGAACCAGTCCCGAGCCTCCCCTAGGTCGACTTCGCCTTAAATGAGTAACTAGTGCAGTGTAAACATTAGTTTGGAGAGACAAGGGCGGCCAGGCGTGGTGTTGGCCACCCACTTTATCACGTGCCGAACAGCACTGTCAAGGCCATACGGGGGATCTTTGTCTTTGTACACGTATGTATACGAGCAAGCTAGCACACTTGCTTACATGTCAGCGCGCACACATATGTAGACGTGTCCACATCTTCACGCGTGTCGAAAGCGTGTATAAGCTTATGCATACGGGGGTCTGCGCACGCACGCGCGCGTGCCATCTGCCTCGTCCACACCCACCCCATTGTGCCTCCCAGTGACCCCTCGCCCTGCCAAGGAGGTTCTGAATGGGACCTGCATTCCAACAGGGCTCCCTTTAGGAGATGGGGGACCAGCAGCTGGAACTCACGGGCCCACCTCCTCCCCTCCATCCCCCACCACCCTCCCCCACGCTTTAGTAACAGCTCATTAAGAGAGCAGCTGCAGGGACAGATGGGAGGCTTTGTGTGTCCATGGATCTTTGTACGTGTCCATCTGTGTGTCCATCTCCCTCGGTGTCCAAATGTGTGCGTCTGTCTGCGTGTGTCTATGCGTAAATGAATGTGTTCTCTTTGTCTGCGCGTTTTGGGCGTCTGTCATTCTGTTTCTATGCCTGTGCGTCTATATCTCCCTTTGTGCATCTCCCTGTGTTTGTCTCTCCCTGTTCATCTCTCCCGGCACGTGTCCCCCCCTGGTGTGTATATCGAAGCGTCTATCCTTGTCTCTGCATCCAAGTGTGACTGTCAGTATCAGTGTGTAGGAGTCTGATATCAGAGTCTAAACTATCTCTGTGGGTGCATCTCTCCATCTGTGTATTTGCTTCCAAGTGTATCTCTACATCTCCACTTGTCTGTGCGAGTGTGGGCATCTGTGTTTCTCAGCATCTGTGTTTCTCAGCATCTGTGTTTCTCAGCATCTGTGTTTCTTAGCATCTGTGTTTCTCAGCATCTGTGTGCGCCCATTTCTTTGCGTCTATGCGGCTCTTTGTGTCTCTCCATCTGTCTCTGCATGTCTCTACATCTCCTCGTATCGCTGTCTCTCCATGTCCACCCCTCACCATCTCCTCTCCATGTCTTCTGATGTCTCTGGATCTTCTTGTAAACTAAACCATTTTATTTTACCAGATAAGGCCCACTGAGCTATAAAGTGCTTTTTGAGAAGTGACCTGGCTACAAATGATAGCTCAACAAAGTGGCATAAATAATCTAAACGCACGTTTCTAAATGGAGGGAAAAACCGGAGGACTCAAGAGAAAAATCCACACGACCACGGAGAGAACATACACTTTCCAAGTATACAGGCGTCAGGGTCGGGATTGAACCCACAGCCTCCTGCATACCAGGCGAGAGAGTTAACTCGCTACCAATTGCGTCTCCCACTCACCGTCCGCGAGGTGCTCGTAACCCCAGGGGACTCTGGAACCCAAGGAAGGAGTCTGTGATGAGAAAACAAAACACAGGGGGTTGCAACGCATGCCTGGGGTCCCAAAGGGAAGGGGGTTCAAAAGGGTATCACAGGGATCGCACACAAGTTAAAATGGCATGGGATTGGTTTGTCTTAACTTGCTTCTCATTGATCATTGTGAACCCCCCATCACCCCATGCAGAATCAGAATATGTATGTATACTGGATGAATCCAATGAGCTATAAAGCTCTTTTTAACAGATGCCCAGTCGTTTAGCCAGATGCACCAGGACCTGAGCGTTTTGGGGGTCGATTTAGGGGGGGGGAAGGGTACATGCGGTCAGACACAAACCTGAGTCCCAGGAATCCGGGGAGAAGCTGCAGAGTGGTACAATTTCCTGGTCTTCTTGCCTACTCGGGGTCAAATGACTGACACACACAACACACAAGTGTTTAGATATGCAACACACATCCTTAACATAACGCATAATGTACATTTTCCCTCCTTTGGCTGCCATTTTGTTACTAGGCTTTATCAGCCATTTTCCCATTTCGCCATGGCATGTTCTGCCCTAGATCACTCACATTTCTCAATGGTCAATCATCCTCCCCAATTTTTGTAGGGGCAAATGCAAATTTGGAGTCAATTAAAAAAAACATACGAGCAAAAACCAAGATCATGCAAAATTTGGATAAAATTCTTGTTGCAAGTAACAACAACTGGAAATGGTTCAACCATGAGGTATGAAGTATCTACTGATGGATGAAGGCCTCCTCCACCCCCGTCCCCAAAGCCATCATGGTGAACGTGATGCAGCAAGCAGCCCAGCCGTGAAAGAAGTTCAACACACATACAACTACTGCACCACGAGCTCCACGGGGGACGTCCTCTTGGATGCAATCCCAACACACCGGTATGCTGAACTAGTAATTAATTGACACGTTTTGTTTATCTACATCATGGGACCTGCTTTGCATGTAAACAAAACATGAGAATAGGTTTTCACCTTTGTCTGGCAACAAAACAGGTGTTAAGATATTAAAACAAACTGAAACCTTTTACAAGGAATCATGTCTGCATTAACCACAATACTTGTGCTTAAAATGAAAACAAAAAACGTATTCTGATAATATATGCATTGTCTTTGAAACCGATTGGTCCACACCAGAGACAGCTTTCTTATTGAGTCTCAAAACGGTGTTAGACCAGAGAATGCCAAAAGGCGGGTTTAACGACACATTTATATTTTACGCGATCTAACCCAAAAAATATTAATCTTATGAACAATATTGGTGGCGAAATCCTCCTCCTAGGTGTTAAACTGCAATCGCTATGCTGGCTGGGACCAAATTGTAACCCTTGTCCACCGGCCATCCATTTTAGCCACGACTGGGCCTGACCAAGCTCACTTAGCTCTTCTTAACACACCCTTCTGTTGATGATGATGCTGCTGCGATTAACAAACAAGAAAATGCAACACGGTCGTCAATTACAAGTGTATGTTTGTAGCCCAAAAAGGAAATAAATAAAATAGGCAACGTATTGGGCAATAGTCCTAGTTCAGAGCTGTGACCACAGAGAGAGAGTGGTCGATGGGAGACTTTACTCGGTGATACTATGGGGCCTGATGACCCAGTTTTTAATTAGGCGATATTAATGTGCGTGTTGTACTTATTTCGCACCGTACGTAGCCGACCGTGCCAATCGAGAGGTGCGATGCAAGCAACAGTTACAAATTAACTTTCAATACAAACGCGTTAATTTCGCAATACATTTTCTAGAATTATTAACAAAGGACATTCGTCTACCAACAGCTACGAATAGGGCATGAATATGGGCTCATTGCCGATTAAATAGTAAGGCCACACGCGGTGCAATTGACAAATGTGTCCAGAGGTTTTGCTAATTCGCGCCGTGGCGAGGTGGACAATGGAACGGCGTCCCGCGAGAAATCGACATCACACAAACTGAAAATCAATGTTCAACACAATAGTCACCGTACTTTGTCGGCTCGGGCAGGTTATGTTGACATTGACCACGGCACAATTACAAATTAAGTTACAGAAGCATTCAAAAGGCACAGAGGTCGCAAATTTGTACGGTCAACGGAATGGTGTACGGTGTATTGACGGGGTAAAATAATTCCGCGACAATTTGTCAGCACATCATCACCATCATCAAAAATACCATCACCACAATACCATGTTCACACTTCCATCACCACGGCAACATCACCAAATCATCAACAGCAGCAGTAGCACCATACCATTATCAACAACAACCCCGCGGGCCTCGCGCAAGGCCCAGGTAGGCCTCGCTTAACAGATGGGGAAGGAGAGTGGGGGGGGGGAGGTGACCCCCTTTTGAAAAAGTTGATGGAAGAGGGCCCCGGTTAGGGGGGGGAGGGGGGCTCGCTTAGGGAGTAGATAGAGGGGATCACCACGAACCTGTACTGCAGCGAAATGAAATCCCTCGGCAGGTGGCCGGCCACGGACGGCAGCGCGGGGCTCGCATCTCCCGGGTGCGCACTCGTCAACTCGGCCATGTCGTTGTGCAACCCTTGTCCCTTGAGCAGGCGGCGTCCCTTCTTCGTCCCCCTCGTCTTCACCCTCGTCTTCACCCTCGACTTCCCACCCCCTCCCGCTCCCTCCCCTCGTTGTCTGCCGAGGCTGCCGGTGGACAAAGGCGGAACGCGGAGGGAGCGAGCAGAGAGCGACCTGCGCCTGCAGTTGTGGCTTTAAAGAGGAGGAAGCGAGAGGGTGGCGCCCAGCGCGCCGCGTCACCGCCGTCTCGCGTCCCCGACGTGCTGGCGTCATCGCATTTTAAAATTCCGCGCGAAATCCTCTCGGCCAATCGGAGCCCCGCATCCGCGAGGGGCGGGAACAGCGCCGGCCAATGAGCGTGCGCGAAAATACGCGCGGCGTCCCGGACTTGGAGGGCGGTGGACTCAGCGGGTTGCGGGGGGGGGGCTTGAATTAAAATGTATTTTTTTATATCAATTTTTTTAATAGCAATTTAATTCAAAGTTAGAAACACCGCCACGTGCCGACTCAACTGAACGTTGGTTGCATCCTAATATTAACGGTTAACGTTGATGACGGAAACAACGACTTTCGGTGCGTGGTGGGTCCCCACGAGCGAGTGGTAGAGCCCGATTTTCTGTTTCCCCTCCCGCCCACCCCCTCGTATTGAGGTCCGAGTGGTAGAGTCCGAGCCAGGTTTGGCGGGAACTAAAGACGCGGGCTCCTCCGACAGCAGGTTCCGACATCAGATTCCCACCAAGAAGAAGAAGAAGCGATGGGCTCCAGCGACTCGCCACCTCCAGAGCGGCAGCATGCTTGGTGAGCGGAGCGGATAGGCGAGAGAGATAGGAGGTGGGCACGGGGGTCAGATGGATCCAGGGGGACTGGGCACGAGGGGACGGGAAGAGAGGGGTTAAGATGTCGGGGGTTTAGCAAAGCGGGATCGTGAACCAGGGAGAGCAGGGGACCAATAATTGAACGAGGTTCAATTAAATTTTGATTTAAAGCTTTCGTGACTGCAGGGATTCATATTATTTTATTGTTTCCCTTCTACGTGACTTTACCGAAAGAACCAAGAATGAGGTTCAATTAATCGAGGGGATAGAGGGAAGCAGCATCCTCAGACCCCGCTTGTGTGTGAGCGACGCAGGTTGGTCGACGACGGGACGACTCGGGACCCCCGAGATGCGCGGGACGCCCAATTTGCGCAGGGGGACCCTGTTAAGAAGCGGGACGCTGTCGAGACGCGGGACCCGGACCTCGCCCTCAGGAGCCCCGTACGCCCCGAGCGGGGGACCCGCGACAACTCCAGGCGCAGCAGCCGCGACTCACACGGGTAAGGGCGGCGGGGGGGGTGTGCGAGAAGGGGGACCCTCATCGTTGTGCGTAGTCAGTATTATACACGGTACAGTATTAATGTGGGGAGCGGCGGTGCAGTGGTTAACGCGCTACGCTACGAGCGAATCTCAACCGGGCCTGGGCCTTCTTCTCCCCTAGGTCGATGTGTAAAACATCGGCACTGGGGACGCAAAGGCGGCTTGGTGTGGCTGGCTCCCACCTCACCTCCCACTTGTTATAAAGAGGCAACACAAACACTTCAATACTGCAGTAGTTAATAGTAAAAATAGCAGTCATCAAAAGCGCCCTGCCGCCAAAGCGTCGCGATGACGTCACCGCGTTTACACGAGTGACGTCACGGCCCGCGCGGTAATGACGCGGCACTATGTTGAAGTTTGACAGCCCTGGAAAATAGCAGGCGAAATAAGATTCTAACTGGTATCATGATACGTAATTATTTTTTTTGGGTCAGATCGCTTAAGTAAAATGTGTGTCGTACACCCTCCGCCACCCGATATAGCCGATACATTTGTGTATTGGCAATACAGATTACGTCACACACCTGACGTTTTGGTTTAGTCATGTTTGTTTGTTGTAGTACAGAGTTAGCCTGATAACTTTACTCTACATTGTCTTATGGTTGTTATTGTTTGACTTGCATACCACCGGGATTGTTGCACACAGCGTTGAAATGCGGTGTTTTTTCTGGAAGACTTTGCTGTTTTTTTCTGTTGCGTGTAGTCACTTTAAGGTGTTTTCTTGTTCATGTTTTTGTTTTGTTGCGGTTGCACCCGATTCAAGAGCCGCATGGCTCACAGGGTTATACCTAATAAATCAAACTGAAACAAACTAATCGGTAATGTTGGAGAGCATTCAGCACAACATTCAACAATTGGGTACTCAAACAATTTGGTAATTAATAACTGAATCACGACAACCAACGTTAACTATGGTCAATTAAATGAGGAAGTTAAATAAAGCTGCCAAGTAGAGTTTAAATTTGAGGAAATTGATGAAAATACTTTCTGTGGGAACGCAACTGGGTACGGTTTAATGATATCACCCCCTACTGTTAAAATCGCAGAGTGTTAGTGAAACACGTATTTCGGGATGCCCATGTACTTAAAAATATTACAAATACAAAATGTGCAAAATTATAATTGTTACAATACACGCATTGAATCGATGGTTAATCCGATCATTTTCTTAAAATGCTGCCAAATAAACATCCCAATGGTATTCATAATTTCTATAAATTATATTCTCATGGATTTATGATAATGAAACGAACACAACTCTACAACCGACGTGAAAACAAATGGGAAACGCCAAAACGAACCCAATCAATAATCAATACGTATCGCTGGTGGGAATCTTGACAAATAGCCGTGTCACAGGAGGGCGAACCGTTCCGTGCCACGGGGACCCTATGGGGATCATACAGGGATCTCGGAGGGGTCTTACATGGGGTCTGCATGCTGTTCTCCACCAGACGGAGACCCGAGCACCCATCTCAGAGTCGTGGCTCGCGACTCGAGCGGAGACGATTTCCCGAGGACGATGAGACGCAGACACGGAGACACAAGCCTCCGTCACGGTACAGGGGGGTGGAAGACGAGGCGTGACGCGGTGGACTGAGAGCCACAACTATACCTGCTACATCTGTCAGGACTCTCCCTGCCGCTGCCACAACTATATCTTCCACGAGTATAACTGCCATACCAAAACTGTACATCCTACACTTGCCAAAACTATACTTGCCACACTCACACCTGCTATGAGGTGTTACAAGTTGCGTTTGAGTATGGTGTGTGTGCGTGCAGTGTACACGGTGTGTAGAGTTTGCATGGCCTGGTGCCTCAGCGGTAGAGTGAGCGGCTTACAATTGTAAGGCTGCATGTTCAAATCCTGTTTGGGGGTTGACTCAGCCCATCATCATCCCTCCATCTGGGGTGGATACAATAGTAACACTTTGTGAGGAAGTCAACACGGATATAAATAGACCCACCCCTGTCATAGGAATGTGGTGATTTCCACCAGCGGTTCTGCAGGGCTGAATACAGATGAGCATCAATGCCTCAGTGCTCATTCATCTTTTTTTATTGTGTACATAGTTTGTGCACACTCTGTGTATACACAGTATGTGTAATGTACACCGTGTGTACATTCCCATCAAATCATTAGTACATTTGCTATTGACGTTATCATTCTTACAGCACAAGGCTGTCATCACGAAGGAAGACGCCGATTTGTTTCACACTGCAGTAGTTTCACAGGAGCGGGCGATGTTGCTAAGTGTAATCCCAATTGAGCATCCTGCAGGTAAATTTCGACCGTGATACTCGCACAAAATCTCCTATTCTTTTCAAAAGCCATCACAGGATCTTTAGCGTCCACTGAAGGAGACTGCGTCGAGTATTTTATGGTTCAATACGCACCACAGTATTAACAGGGGGGAAGTGCTAAACTCTGCAGCAAGCGGGGAACACGCTACCGCTGGGCCATGTCTCTTACCCAAGAGTATACCGTACATGCTGTGTTTGTGTGCATGTTGCATGTGGTGTACCTGGTGCAGTGTGTTTATGGTGTAGTATGGCGGTTAGTGCGCTTTGCTACGAACCCAGCCACCCGAGTTCCATTCCCACTCACGGCCAACATCAGTGATGATTATCTGAACCGGTCTTGGGCCTCCTGTAGGTCTACTCAAATGAGTATCCGGTATGGTATGTAAAATCACCGCCACTGGAGAAACAAAGGCGGCCGGGCGTGGTGCTGGCCACCCACCCCCTCGTGTGCCGTTCCGGCCTTCATAGGTGCTTACTAACAGCACTTACTCCAACAGTGTGTTAAGGATATATGGGGAATCTTTGTCTTTTCATGGTGTACATATGATATTTGTGTGCCCCGTGTGTAGCTGCGCTGGCTCTGCACCGACAATCTCCTCGTGTAAGCGTTCCTGCTCTGGCTTGAATGACTGGGCCTCCGCTGTGGAGGACGATGAGGACAGACGCTCACAGATCCAGGGAGAGATGAAGAGGTGCCCACCTCATCTGTCCATCCCTCCAGCTCGCAAATCACTACCAGCACCAGCAGTTTGCTTGTATCCGCGTGTTTTAAGCTTACATATGGTGTCCGTGGTGTCATACCTACTATAATCACCCAGGAATGTCTGTCCTTAATGCTCGTGACGTCACTCCACATCGACCAGCCCCCCTCATTAATAATCATGAACAGGTGACATCAATCCACATGGAGCACCCTCCCCCCTCATTAATAATCATGAGCATGTGACGTCACTCCACATGGAGCATCCCTCCCCCTTATCAATAATCACTAGCTTTTTTGCCCGTCCAAAGATGGGTGTATATTGCAGTAAATATGAAATATTCAATAGAAAAATTGTTCAGATCATGATTATAAATGACGGGGGGATTGCCCCATGTGGAGTGACGTTATCCGCTAATGGTTATTGTGGAGGGGTGCGGCTTGTGGAGTGACGTCACCGCTAATGATTATTAATGAGGGGAAGGGTGCGGCATGTGGAGTGCGCGACCTTGTGCGTTAGTGCAAATTTCCACGCGGGCATGCATATTAATGAAGGGGGGGAGCCTCTTTTGCAGTGACGTCACGCACGGATGTAGCACTACTGCGTAGATTTATTTTTTACCGTCACTTTCTCTAAAGAAACGTCATTTGAAGCGACTTTGCGTAATAAATTATTAAATTCAGCTCGACCTTCCTCTGCGTTGGTGTAAAAATCCACTCACTCATGAATATTAATGAGGGAGGTGGGCCTCGTGGAGTGACGTCACACGGGGGGTGGACCTCATGTGGAGTGACGTTACGCACAGGATGGACAGACATTTCTGGGTGATTATAGGTAATGAGCAGGTGACGTCACTCCACATCGAACAGCCCCCCTCATTAATAATCATTATAAGGTGACGTCCTCCAAATGGACACCCCCCTCCATTCATAATAATTAGCGGCTGACGTCACTCCACGTGGGGAGTCGAGGAGCCTCCTCCCCCCTCGGCATCAACTTACAACCCTCACTACAAAGGCAGAACCCTCGTGTCACGCGATCTCCGTAACGCTGTTGAGACATCAAAGTAAAAAGGACGTCATGATGAACAAGGGATTATAGGTCTGTCATCGCGCCCTTACAAAATGTACACGGATTAGTGCAATGAATATCACGTCGTGGTCTGCTTTTCGCTTGCAAGTTTCAGATTTCCTTCCATACACCCGTCCTTGGACGGGGAAAAGGCTAGTTGGCTATATGTGTGCATGCATGTGTGCTTGTGTTGGTGTTATGTTTTGTTTGTCTGGGTGTGTGCTTGCATCTAAATGTGTGCGTCACATCAGTTACGTCTGCATATGTCCTTGTGTCGCGTGTCAATGACGTGTATCTGCGTGTATGTCTGTATGTATGTGTGTATCTGGTGTACCTGTGTCCACACCTGTGGGTGAGATTGCATCTGCGTGTCCTTTTGGTCATGTCTGCATGCTTATGCATGCACATGCGTCTATATAATTTGCGTGCATGTGTTTGTGTGTATTTGTAGTGCCCCTATCCACGCGCGTGCATGTGTGCGTGCGTGGAGTAGTAGTGAAGTGCTTAGTACTGCATTACGAATCTGGCGACCAAATTTCGAGGCCTGCTTACGGCCAACATCAGTGATGAATTTATGAATTGGTCCTAGGCCTCATTTATGTCGACCCTTTCTTAAATGAGTACGTGGTGAAATGTGTACACAGCAGCATTAGGGAGACAAAGGCAGCCAGGCGTGGTGCTGGGCACCCACACCCTGATAGTTCCATACCGGTCTTAATAGGTACTCGTTAACAGCTCTTGCCCGATGGGATCTTTGTCTCTGCGTGTGCAGGGTTAATGCAGAAGCACTGTTCAGCAAGGCCAGTGACATGGAGACGGACGAGGAGGTGCTCGTGCGGCGCCAGAAGCAGATCGACTACGGCAAAAACACGCTGGCGTACGAGAACTACGTGGAGGAGGTGCCGCGGTGGGTCCCGCACCAGGCCACACCACTGCTGCTGGGCTCCACCGGCACTCGACATGCACTGCCTCCACACCAGCTTGGGCCATTGTCGTCACTTTAGATACATGAAAAATACGGCTCGTGGTCGCACAAGGCTTGCCATTTATAAACCGATAATGGGTTTAATAATCAAATGCTTGAATAATTAGGTCGCTCAGCTCTAATTGGAATGAGCCCTCCGCATTCTTCTCCTCTTCCCTCCCATCACCGACAGGCACCTGCGTGAGCCAGGCAAACACCCACGCACGCCCAACAAGTTCAAGAAGTACAGCCGACGCTCCTGGGACCAGCAGATCCGGCTGTGGCGCCGGGCACTGCATGCCTGGGACCCCGAGTCTACGGAGGGCGCAGACGACTCCCTGCAGCCCATGTGAGCACCATGGCAGTGGTGGCAGTGTGGCAAGATCACGATGGCGGTGGTGGCAAAGCGCAACCGCCAGTTTCAGTTGGTGTTTGACCCCTGTAGACTTCTGTTCAGGTCCAGGCTCGGGACTTTTTTTTCCTCTGCCAATGATTCACTGCAACTTTCTGTATAGATTAAATATGCCCATTGTTTATTAGCACGTGATATAGCATCGAGATGCTATATCAATGCACATCGTATTGTATTGACTCACATTGAGCCCCATAGGGTTACACAAGACCTATGGCTGCCTCTTTCTCTCTGCACAGCATCTTGAGATGCAGCCACATGCAGGCACTATATGAATGCACGTTTTATTGTGTTGCAGAGCTGAGCTGGCGCTGCAGGATGGCTTGGACGATCTGTGATACGACGGTGGCGGTGGCGCTTGGTGGTAACTGCCGCAAGAGTTTCCGGAGTTTGCTCATTTGCTACACGGTGGTGCGGGGATCCAGCGACCCTTACACACGTCAATCTTGGCACACACACATGTGGACTCACAGTGACGATTAGCAGGGTAGGCAGTACACACACAGGCACACACATACTGGTGGCGTTCCAGTGTGCAGGAGGTGCAACTGCTTTGGTGCCAATAGCCTGGAGTGTCCTAGGCGCTGGGGTACAGTGTGGTGAAACTGGACAGGGGGGGGCCCATTTCATTTGCACGAGGGCCATGCCAACTGCGCTATGCCAATGTATTGCATAGAGACCCATAGACTTACATGGATTTCCATAGCATTACATGGAGACGCAAACTAACAGCGATTTCATTGACCTACATGCACTTAAATAGACCCATAGACCAACATGTACTTACATCGGTGATATAGCTATTAAGTGTGCAGGTTGTGTAGCTGCATTGCTGAATGAGTCCACGGACAGGAGGGGGGGCAGGTCCTGGGCTATGAAGAGGGGGTAATGTGATAGGGACCCAACCCCCCTCTGACCTATCGTTTGCCCGGTTTCCACGAGCAACAGAACCAGATTGTGAACTCGAGTTGCCGCCCCAGCCAGCGTCACGTGTTTCCATTATCATTACGCTACTTGAAATGGCAGAATATTTTGTCTGCGGCCTGAATTTCCAAGGCGGGTGTTGATTTCCTGGGCTGGCCTAGAATTCCCTGCGTCTGATTTCGCTCAGAGATCAGTGAAGTTGCCAAACACGTTACAATAAATAATGTAGGGTGACAGGACCATTCAATTGTACATTTAACGATTTAAGTAAATTTTGTTAGCAACCCAATCTTGACCTTTGTTGCGCACATTTCTGGGACAGGTGATCTTGCAAGAAAATTGAAGTAACTGCAGATTGCGGAATCCCCAATTTAACCAATTCGAGTTACCCTTGAACTCGAGTTCTGGGTGAGAAATGAGGCCAACCCAAGTTGGTGGGCCTACAGAAACCTGATGTTTGCTGGACACAAGCCTCAAAGTCGAAATGTTTTCCTGGCCAAATGAGTATTGAAGTGGTGCTCGTCTCTCCTGTTTATAGCTCTGAAACATTGGTGGAAAATCTGTATTCCTTACCCGGGAAATCCCCGTTAACTTCCCCACAACATGATATAAATTGATTGTGAGACGCTTACTCGACTACTGAGCCACCTGGCCTGATACCAGGACTTGAGGTCACGTGCATACATACACACACACGCGCGCGCGAGAGCCCACAGTGAAAAGAGTAAGTGGACCCCGTCACTCAGAGTTCCCTGTCCTCTGCCAGTTCTATTCGCGTGGCCCCCATGACCTCTGTGCCGACGTGGGTGGGCCTCCTGCCATGTTCACTGGATCCCTGCCATGGACATTCCCCTCCCCACCACTTGCCACGTTTGTTTTCCACTTGCCTCGTGTCTCAGGCAGCCGGCATCGACACAATCCCTCGCCGTTTAACATTCGGATGTTTTTAATGTTGCGTGAGTGTCGTGGACGTGTGCGCACGTGACGGCTGCCTGGCGTCACTGCCAAATTGTTTGAAATAAAAAAAAGTTTCAAAAGTCTTGCACTTTCACTCGCTCTCTGATTCCTGTGCTTGGGCCCCTCTCTGCGATCGAGGGAATTCCATAAATACAGGACTTTAAAAAAGACTGCTATCGCATTATTTTTGTTATAGAAAAGGGGGGGGGGGTACACGATAACTGATAAGATGGTCCAATATGAACGACATTTCACTACAGTTCTTTTGCTATTAGATGGACGTACCCTACAGAAAACTGGCCACATTGATCAAAGTATTGCCCAACACTTGAAAATGAAAAATAAATGCTAAAAGAATTCCCTCGATCAAGGCCATGGTGTAACATCATCTTGCAATGTCATGCGCTCGGCTGCTGGATAACGCAATTAGCTTGAGACGTCATTGTGAGTCGCGGCCTGTGCCAAAATTAGTTTCAAGCTTCAAAAATAAGTAATATTTTTTTTAAACACGCTTTGATGAAATGTACCGTACTAGTAATGGAAGAACTCCACGACTCCAGGAAGTGGCCCCGAAGCTTGCCATAACGTAAGGGGCCGTGGTGAGTTACAGCAAACGTCAGTTGACCGTGGACAATTTGACCCAAGCCGAAACATAACAAAAAATGTTTTAAAATATATTGCTTATTTTTAATGATAGAATATAGTATTGTCATCAGTATGACATAAGTATACCAAGTTTGCAGTCGATACCACATTGGGAAGTGGGTAAAAATTGAGTTACAAGATTTGAGGATACAACAACAGACTGAGTTAATAAAAAGCGTGTAATAAAATAAAAACACTTTAATAATGTCATTACACTTTAATAATGTCATTATGGTCACACCTACATTTACGTTGTAACGCTTCAATCTGACATGCCTGACCGTGACGTGTGGAGTGAAACAAGCTGTTTGAGAGTTTTCATTCATTAAAGTTTGCCGATACCCGAGTCTCAATACATTGGGATGTTTGTCCAATTCCACGACATTGGGAACAACACCACAGTTTAAGATAAGCAGGTCGTGCGCGGTGCGGTAAAGTGTGGGTGGTCCCACCTACCACACGTCTGGCCAACGTGGAAGAGTAGACCAATTCCCCTCGAGGGCCTATAGGGCTTCTCTCTGTGAAGTGTATCCATTGGAATCCATGGCTAAAGTTTCGCTTGAATCGCTGACTGAGTGGCTGGCCGTCGGAACCGGTAACCGATTCGTAAAACGGTTACCGTTTGAGCAACCCTCATTGGAAGCCCGGGCCACCCCCCACGCTGCTATGTTTACAAACTCAGTGCGCGGTGACGTCACGACGCACACGCGGGGGGGGAGGGGGGAGCGCGCCGTGATGTCACGGCGCGTGCGCGGTGACGTCACGGGGAGACGGGTCGCCATGTCGGGCAGGCGTTGAGGGCGGCGCGAAGAGAGGAGAGCGGAGTGCGAGAGGAGAGCGAGGAGTGGGAGAGGGGAGAGAGGGAGGGAGGGAGGAGAAGGGAGAGAGCGGGGAGAGGCGAGAGCGTCTCCCGGGGAGGAGGAGCAGGAGGAGAGAAGGGTGAGTTCTCCCGGGTCTCGGGCCCGTTGGGTGCCAGGCGGCGCGGGGTGCCGGCCTGTAAACACGAGGGGCCAGTGGGAGGGATGCGGCCTCCAGTCCCCGTGTCCCCGTGTCCCTGTGTCCCTGTCTCTCTGCTTGTCTCTCTCTGCTTGTCTCTCTGTCTTCGTGTCTCCCTGAGTCCCGGTCTCATCCGTCGTACCGTTATGTGGCTGCCTGCCTGCCTGCTCTGTCTCCCTTACTGATTGTCAACTCTTGTTTACTGTCTCCTCTACCTCACTGGCTTCATGTCTGCCTGGGTCAATGTCGCTCCGTCTCCCTGGGTCCATATTTAACTGGAGCCCTGTCTCCGCGTGTCATTGTCTCCTCAGATCCCTGTCACTCTGTGTCCTTGTGACCTGTTTTTACTCGGTCTCTATGTCCCTGGATCCCTGTCGTCCCGGGGTCCCTGCCTACTGCGGACCTCTTTCCTTGAGTCAATGGGTTCCTGTGTACCTGTCTCTTCGGGGTCCTCGTTCCCTGTGTCTGGGACCCCGATCCCCTTCTCCCCGTGATCCCGGCTCCTTGGCACGTCTCCCTAGACCCCTTCTGATCCCTGTCTCCTTGAGTCCCTGCATTCCTGGGTCCCCTCCGCCTCGGTCTGGCCTCCTCATCCCTGCTCTGCCCAAGTCCCCTGGCATCCCGTGCCACTGAGATCCCAGTCTGGTTTCGCCAAAATCTCGTGGAAACAAACAAAGATCCCCCCGTGTATAGCTTCAACAGACTTGGGGAAGTGCTGTTCGTAAGGCCGCCACGGGGTCGGCGGCCAGCACACATCCAGATGGAAAGACCTCATCAGTAACACACCTGAAGAGACCGTTGTAGTATCTACCGCAGGTGTAAATGTGTGTGGTAGTAGCATATCAATATATACCGAGTCTCATTAATCCTTTTCAGAAGGATCCTCTGGGATTTTTTGTCAATTCTATGAATGAGTGTTTGATTTCATGTGAAAGGAAACCGGAGAACACAGAGAAAATCCACCCCTCATGCGAGGGGATGACACTCAACTCTGCGCTCAGATTCAGTCCGTTTCTCTACTGCTATCTTTCCTGCTAGTTTGCAGCTCCAAGCCTCCCAACACATTACATCACCAGATAGTCTTCAAAATCTAAATACTATAACCAGGCTCACCCTGCTCACCTGTTGACACCTGATGAGATCGGGCGCATTCAAGAAGATTTGTATAAGTTGAACTTTCACTGTCGTGTCCGCTTTGCAGGTGTGAAGAGGAGGAGGAGGAGGAAGAGGAGGCGGTGACGGTGGCCACATCTCGGCGTGACCTATCCCCGCGACCCTGTGCCCAGCCCGTGACCCCGTACAGCGGTGCCGAATGGTGATCGGAGCGGCACCCCGGGGTCACCGCTGCCCTCCGCTCGCGGAGGTCGCCCGCCCTCGCCGTGGTACGTGCCGCCGCCGCAGCCGCCGCCGCCGCAGCCGCCACCGCCAGCATGTCCGACGGTGGGAGGAAGTGGGGCTGCGAGTACTGCACCTACGAGAACTGGCCCTCCGCCATCAAGTGCACCATGTGCCGCGCACCCCGACGCAGCCCCAGCATCATCTCTCCTCCCGAGGCCGGCACGCCGGGCTCGCCGGACGACGGGCGCTGGCGCCGCGTGCTGACCGACGTCTCCCCTAGCGGCGGAGGAGGAGGCGGCCCAAGCGGGGGGACGCCCATCATTTGCCCGGACGCTGACGACGTGGTGGGCGGCGGCGGCGGCCTCGGCGGCCTCGGCGGCCTCGGCGGCCTCGGCGGCCTCGGCGGCCACGGCGGCCTCGGCGGCCACGGCGGCGGTAACGTGACGGGGGACTCCGCCGGCAAGTGGAGCTGCGCCACGTGCACGTACATGAACTGGCAGCGCACCGCGCGATGCTCCCAGTGCCTGACCCAGCGCGGCGGCTGCCGCACCGTCGCCGCCACCAATCCCGCGCAGCGGTCTCCCCGCGGCGGCAGTCCCGGCGACTCTCCCGGCGCGTCCACCACGTGCGTCGCCCGGCACCGTCGCGGCGGCGGGGCCTCGCCCGTGTCACCCGAGCACGTGGAGGAGATCCTCAACAACGACCGCAACCGGGCCGCGGCGCCGCCGGCCCTGGCCCCGCCGCCATCGGCGCCGGCGCCCCCGCCAGCGTCCCGCGCCCCCGTCTCCCCCAAGTGGATGTGCGCCACCTGCACCTACGAGAATTGGCCCAAGTCGCTCAAGTGCTCCGTGTGCGCGCATCCGCGGCCTAACAACTACGAGGCGGTCGAGCCGGAGCGAGTGGCCATCGACGCTAGGGACGCCGAGAGGGCCGCCGCGCTCATAGAGCAGGAGCGGGCGAGGAGGCGTGCCGCCGGTGGCGGCACGGGCGGCGGCGTGGTCGGTCTGGTGGGCGCGGGCGGCGGGGGCTGCGGCGCGGGCATGCGGCGGTCTCCGTCGTCGTCACGCCGTGATCCGGACTCTCCGCTGCTGGATGTCCCGCGGATAGAGTTTGCTGGCGCCGTGGGAAATAACCGTAAGGAGGATCGCGAGGCGGACTTCAAGCGACTGAAGCAGATCAAGAACCGCATGCGCAAGACCGACTGGCTGTTCCTGAACGCGTGCCTGGGTAACGCAGCGCCCGCGTCTCCCACGTCTCCTCCCTACCTCCCCGAAGCCCCCACCTCCCTCCCTCCCAACCTCGGCCTGTCCCAGTGGGGGGCACCATACTGCCTATTTCCATTTTGTAGCCGAGTTTGGTGTCTGGGTTAGAGCCTAGTGTCCGGTTTCATGAAACAAGTGAATTGAAGGTTACTTAGTTTACACTGGTTTCGATGGGAATCTCCATTAATCGTATGTCATCATCCTTGAACATCACCCCCCCATCACTCCCATCATCACCCCCCGTCTTCTTCCATCATCTCCATCCCCATTATCCTCTTTGTCATCTCCCACCATCTCCCACAGTCTCAAACCAGACCTTCATAATTATCTAAGACCACTGCCCCCTCCCATCATCTCTCCCCATTATGTCATATCACCACCCCCTCATCCTTACCCATCACCCTCCATCATCTCACAATATCCTTCATCCCCCCCCCATAACCCCCACCACCCATCACCCCCACCCATTGCTCGCCCTCCCATCACTGTAGCTGAGAGCGACGCTCAGCAGGGAAATTAATTCTCGGATGAGCCGCGCTGCTCAAGATTTTACCGGCCACCCCTGCGTCGGTTCGGATTAGCAGTGACCACTCAGCTCGCACTGATAGTACACGGAGAGAGCAGAGAGTACACAATGCGTACAGAGTGTACACGACGAGTGCTGACAGTACCCACCTTTGTTGAGTGTACACAGGTGTGTGCAGAGAGTGCGCGGAGTGTGTTTAGAGTGTCCAGCTGTCACGAAGCACATGGGGTTTAGACACCTGGGGTAGAGCAGCAAGTACACAAGTGTGCTGAGAGTACATGGAGTGTGCTGAGATTATTTGGAGTGTGCAGAGAGAGTACATCTTTCACTGATATACACGATGTGCTGAGAGTACATCGTGTTTTGAGAGGACACAGTGTTTCCGGGAGTACACAGCAAATGCTGAAAGTGCTTCGAGTGTTCAAGAAGGTGCTCAATGTATGCTGAGAGTATTCTGCTCTCACTTGGAGTACACGAGGAGTGACAAGTACACACCTGTGCTGAGTGTCGATGGCAGTGCGCAGCGAGTATGAACCTGTGCAGAGCATACGCATGTGTGCTGAGTTTCCATGGCAGTGCGCAGCGAGTACACACCTGTGCTGAGCGTGCACATCCACACTGATGGTACATGGCAGTGTGCTGTGAATAAGCGGCTGGTGCCAAGCCTGCGTAAGAACTGCACATCGATGCACATTGCGTGGCTGCGGGTGGGGGGGTGAGACGGGGGGGGGTGCCAATGGCAAGTCCGCACACGCCGCTGCCGCCACGGGCGGGCGCTACGGCACATGGCACGATCTCGGCGCCGCGTTCCCACCACCGTTAACGAGCAGCTCGTTAGAGGGATGAACGCCAGCGCCGCCACTGCCGCCACTGCCGCCACTGCGAGAGGAGGCCGGTGCTTTGCCTCCCGGCGAGGCAGGGAAACGGTGGCGCAGCTATTGAGTAGTGCGCAGGTGGCACACCTGCACAAGGGCCCCCAAGGCAGCAAGGGTACAGGCGCCGGACTATGGAGATTGGGGCGGTGGGGGGATGGAAATGGGATAGAGGCCCCCCCATTTCATTCCTTGCACCAGGGCAAATGCCAACCACGCTACACCACTAAAACCCGTCGTGGGCTTACATAATGACCTATATATAGACTTATGTAGAGACCCATAGAGCCGTGTAGAGACTTCGAGCTTCACACAGTCCAGTCAAAGTGATTTCCTGCTCAAATGAGCATTGAGGTGTTACTCCTCTTCCATTTACACCTTGAGCCAGTGGTGGAAGTTCCACATTCCTATGGCAGAGGGTGAGTCTATCCATCGGATAACCACCGTTGACTTGCCCACAGAGTGGTACTTCGCATAGAGCCTCATAGACTAACAATGAACCCACAGGCTATCATTGCACCTATAGACTAGCAAAGGACCCAGTGGTTTGGCTCTCGAGTGTGCAGTTCCTTCAACTGCACTAGGTCTCTCAGACTGGAGGGGGGGCCTATGCGGTGGGGTCATTCGAATAATCGGGGGGTGACATTGGAATGGGGGAATGGAACTCCTCATTTCATTCCTTGCACCGGGACCCATGCCTACCACGCTGCGCCACTGCTGGGAATGGCACGGGTGCGGCGGGGGTGAAGGAGGATGGAGGACGTCGCCCTAGGACCCATCTGTGCGTGCCGTTTGCGCCCGCTGTTTAGCCAGCTGCGTGCTGTTGCGCATGTTGTTTCGCCGGCTGTGTGGAGTTGTTCTGCACCTGCCCCTTGCTCGGCGTTAGAGTTGGGTTGCCGTTTGTTTTTGGGGAGCTGGGCGGGTAAGACGATCTGTCCTGTGGTGGCGACAGCGGCAGCAGCAGATTGGTTCTCGGCCGGTCAATGCCTAAATAGTAGCTCCCGGGAGACAGGGGCAGACGTAGATCTTCCCGTTCCTCCCTGCACCTCCCTGCATCTCCCCATGCATCACCGCGCATCTCGCCATGTCTCTACACCTGCCTGCTTCTCCCCATGGCTCTCTACACCTCTTTGTTTATCCCCATGTCTCCCTGTGCCTCGCCCGCTCATCTGTGCTGCAAGCAGCAGAGCAGTGTGAGTGCCACTCTTCTTTTCCTGAGCCTGTGCCACCACTGTCCTTGAGGCTCCCCATTACTCAACAGTTTATGATAAGAGATGTAATCTGTGTTCTCTGGTACCGGTGTGTCCGTGTATGCCACCGCGTGTCCTTGGGAGCCCTTCTGTGTCTCCCGCTCGCCGCGTGTACCTGTGTGTACATCTCTTGTCCCTGCGTTTCCTCTTGGGGCCCTGTGTTTTGTATGGCCCCATGTGTCTATGTGCCTCTGTGTGTGTCCCTGTCCCCACGTATCTGAGTGTAGCTTCGTGTCTGTGTGGCCATGCATCCCGTTACCTCTCTGCATGTCCCCGCTTACCTGTATCTCTTTCCATCTCCCCGTGTCTCTAAATGGCTGAGTCGATCTCCGTCACCCCTTGTGTGCCTCCGTGACTCCACGTGCCCGTGTATTGACGCTCCGCATTGCTCAACAGTTTGACAACAGAGTTCAAGTTGTCTCTGGTCCCCGTGGGACCCTCCTGTGTGGTGTCCCCGTGACCCCCGTGCGGCCCCGCGTCCCCTCCCCTGCGTGCATCACCCAGGCGTGGTGGAGGGCGACTTTGCGGCCGTGGAGGCGTACAAGTCTTGCGGGAGCGACATCGCGCGCCAGCTCACGGGAGACGAGGTGCGGCTGCTCAACCGGCCCTCGGCCTTCGACACGGGACACACGCTCGTGCACCTGGCCATCCGCTTCCAGCAGCAGGACATCCTCGCCATGCTGCTCGCGGAGGTGCGCAGATCCCCTCTCCGCCCCTTCTCGAGGGACGGACATCGCCAGCACCATCACCGGCGCCGAGCACATCCCTCACAATCATCACCGGCACGATCACCAGCGCGGTCGCCAGTACCCTCCTTCCCAGAGACGCCAAGGCATCAACGTCGCCGCTGCCACCATCACCGGCCCTCATGAACGCTGAGCCCATTGCTGTAAATGCCACCATGACTGCACCAAGCCTATCGCCGTCACCCTCGCGGACATCATGTCATCACCGTCACCAAATGTTACCTCTGCAGCCACTGAGCCCTCAGTATCACATTCACCGTCATCGATACCATCGCCTGTACTGAAACGGTTACTATCACAGGTGTGCTGTGTGTCCCTGGTGAGAGCTACACAGGTGTGCTGTGTGTCCCTGGTGAGAGCTACACAGGTGTGCTGTGTGTCCCTGGTGAGAGCTACACAGGTGTGCTGTGTGTCCCTGGTGAGAGCTGCACAGGTATGCTGTGTTCTCATGTGCCCCCAGGTCTCCCAGCACGCGGCCAAACGGATCCCGGCGTTTGTGTGCCCGGAGCTGACGGAGCTGATCCGGCGCGAAGTTGCCACGTCGCTCCACCAGCGCAAGGGCGACTTCCCCTGCCACTTCCTGTCTGACCTCCTGACCTTCACGCTGCCAGCCGGTGAGCCACGGTGTGCGAGACGGGGTGCCACGTGTGTTGTGAGGCGTTTGATGTGCTGCGCTCTGTGGTGTGCGGCGTGATGCATTGTGTGGTGCGCGGTGAAATGCGGTGTGTGGTGTGTGGTGCGTGGCGTGATGCGGTGTGTGGTATGCGTGAAGGCGGAGTATGTTTTGTGGTGTGGGGTTTACGCCATGTGGTTTTTAGCTGCGTATGTGGTGGTGGTTAGCTTTGGTATGTGTGGTGGTGGTTAGCTGGGTAGATGTTTATGCGATGGTGGTAGGTGCTGGTGATTGTGGTAAGCGGTTATGTGGTTGTGGTTGCCGTGGCTGCAGAGATCGAGGAGCTGCCCGGACGCGTGCAGGAGAAGCTCTACGATGAGCTGTTGGACCGCGACGTGCAGAAAGGTGAACTCTCACCCCACGCTCACCACACGCTCGCCACACCCTCACACCTTCATTTCTAAGTGTGTGTGTGTGTTCTTGGTGAGTGGTATATTCTCTGTGAGTGTACTGGGTGAATGTGTGTTGTGCCCTCGGCGGGCGAGTGAGCAGGTGAGTGAGTGGGTGAGCGAGGGGCCGGGCGGGCGAGCGGCCGAGCTACTGGCTGCGTTATTTTAGGCCCCAGTGTCTGGACGCGACTGCGGCCGTGTTGGCGTACGCTGATGTGAGCCACTATTTCCACCGCCACTTCACCCCTCCTCCCCCGCTGTGCTTTACCCCCCCTCCGTCACCCCCCCGCCCCCTCCCTCCCTCGCCCACTGGCCCACGGGAGGAGCTGTTTGTGTTGGCACAGACCGCAGCCCCCAGGCTTCCTGAGCTACATCACAGGGCCTGACAGAAACCCCCCGTGCCTGCAGCACACACGTATATCGAGAAACACTGTATATACGTGTGTGTGTGTCTGCAGCACACACGTGTATACAGACACTGTATACACACAAGGACAAAGATCCCCCACGTAGCCCCAACAGACCATTGGGGACAATGCTGCCAGTGAGCGAGCACCTATGAAGGCCGGTACGGCGAACAGCCACACGTGGTGTTGCCGGAACCACGCCCGGCCGCCTTTGTCTCGCCAGTGCTGATGTTTACACGCCGCACCAGGTGCTTCTTTAAGGCTGAGGCGACCTACTAGGCAATTCCTAGGACCAGTTAAAATATATTCGTCGCTGTTATTGGTCACCAGTGGGAATTGAACATGGGTTACCGGGTTCATAGCGCATTGTGCTAACCCACTGTGCTACTGTTCACACATATTACACAACAACAACAGCTGACATTGGCCACTAAGTTGCTGCCATGTCACCACAGCACTTGGGTGTAGTTTGAGGCCACGTGAAGTGTGGAAGGTTCACTGGCATGTCATGGGACCAGACAAAGATATTTTGTGTTGACTGACTGATATGACTGGTTTATGAATCATCTGCGCTCCTCCGGGGACCAATTTGCTGCGTTTTAGCGGCCCGGCGCTTCTCTCGTTGTGAGCGTCACTCCTCTGCCCTACGTTGTTGTTGATGGGTGCCTCCAACTGCTAAGTAGAGTCCTTTACAAGCCACCTCCATAGACGCCGATCTTGACACCGCTTGTACCAGTGATCAGAAAATCGACTCGGTTACAGATCCTCCTGTACCGTATCAGCCCATCTCTTCCCTTGCCATGCCCTGCCAGTTAAGCACCCTCTATCTGGCCAAACAGAAGCTGCTTGGGCATGCATTGGATGGGCATGCAGGCTACGTGTCTCATCCACCACAGCCTTGCCTGGCGGAGAAACTCACCAACGGGACTTTGTCCAGATATTTCAAGCATCTGTGAGCTTCTCATACAATCCAACCTGGTGAAATCAAGTATGGATCGTAGGCAAGCCACCCTGAATGTTTCAAACCAGCGCAGATGTTCCTTCAGAGGGGTCTAGGCTTCGCAAACATAGGAAAGGGAGGGCATAACTGTCGCCGAGAAGACCTGGAGCTTAGTCTGGAGCGACATGCCAGGTAGCTTCAACACAGTGTTATGACTAATTCGGAGTGAAACATTTACTGCTCATCAGCACACAGCCTAGGTACGTAAACTTCTCCACTCTCTCTACAACCAACCTATCACTGATGGCTAGTGGCCGGAGGGGAGTATTTGATGACACAATACCCAGGAAGGTGCTTTTGTTTTCGTGGGGCTGTTGGTAAGTCTCCACCTCTTTGCCACGGCACATTCCAGGTTCAGAAATAGATTCCCCAACTCAGAGTGTGCAGCAATTACAAGACCATCAGCATACATAACATGGTTGACCAAGAGGGAGACATGACTTGACTGTGCTCAGGCATTGATAAGCCTCCCATTGTATATCTAGCAATTTTAAATTCCTTCAGTACAACCATGGAAAGCTCCTCAAACTACGTGGTAAAAAATATGTTACATAATGCAGGGGCCAGAGGAAATTCCTGTCGCACCCCAAGGTGAACAGGGAATGCCTCTGACTCCTGGCTACGCAGCTTTACCCGGGCCTGCCCACCATCATGAAAATCCCTCATGATTGAGGGTCAAGGACCCCCAAAAGCACAAAAAAGAATCAATTCATGTTAATAACTACATAAACACACCCGCATACACAAAAAACAAAGACACTCACCCACCTGCTTCCACACAAAATGACACCATTTTGCTCACAAAAACAACGATTGAGTATGTAATGTTTATTAAACTGTTGGGTAAGTGCTGTTAGTGGGCACCTATGAACGCCAGCACAGTATACACAATGGCGGAGCCAGGATTTTCAGGTAGGGGGGGCAACCCCTTCAGCAATGAAAAATGATAGGAGTTGTTAGTAAGTAAGGAGTTGTTAGTAAGTAAGAAGTTGTTAGTAAGTAAGGAGTTGTTAGTAAGTAAGGACTTGTTAGTAAGGAAGGAGTTGTTAGTAAGTAAGAAGTTGTTAGTAAGTAAGGAGTTGTTAGTAAGTAAGGACTTGTTAGTAAGGAAGGAGTTGTTAGTAAGGAGTTGTTAGTGAGTAAGTAGTTGTTAGTAAGTAAGGAGTTGTTAGTAAGTAAGAACTTGTTAGTGAGTAAGGAGTTGTTAGTAAGTAAGGAGTTGTTAGTAAGTAAGGAGTTGTTAGTAAGGACTTGTCCCTTGCTTTTTATTTGACGCGTGTGCGGCAATGGCACAGCCATCGATCGAGGGTCGAATTCGAACCGCGTTGTGTGATCGGCATCGCGCTCACTGAGGGTGAATGCCTTCAGGGAAGTCGTGTGCTGTGTACGCAGCTGCGCACAATTCTGTGAGTCACTTATAACTGCTTTGCCGTTACTGATTTCCAATTATGGACTCATACTATTGTCCGATCATCTCATAGAGTCCCTGGCACATAATTATATGCTACACAGTGGCAGTGGGGGTCGCAAAATGCCGATTTTTTACTAATAAACCCCAATGATCCGATCAAAATGAGGATTTCGATCTGATCATTGGGGAGGCACGTGCCACCCCACCCTCCCTCCACTGGCTCCGCCAGTGAGTACACGAGGGCATGAGTGGCCAACACCTTACCTGGCCACCATTGTCTCCCTGAGTCCTGATCTTTCCACTCCACACCAGGTACTGCTTTTTGTGTTTAGTTCTTTTGTCCTCCCCTCGCACCTCCGATTTAGCGCGGTTGGCTACGTACGGTGCGAAGGAAGTTCAACCGTACATTTAGGTTGAGTCACCTACTAGGGGAGGCTCGGGTCCAGTTCAAATAATCACCACTGTTGTTGGTCGTGAGCAGGAATTGAACTCGGGTCGCCGGATTCACACGGCAGCGCGCTAACCACAGCACTACCGCTCGCTCGTGCACACGTACCACGCACGCACCCCCACGTGCTTGCACACGTAATTACACTTGCACAAGTGCACGAGCGAGAGCGATGCCCAGGCACCCCACGCCGCTAACGAGCCTCGCGCACGCGGCAAATGTAAGGAAACATATGTGGCATAAACGTCTCTCCCAGGGTGGGGGGCAGCCTGCGGGCCGGGAGCCAGGGAGACGGGTGGGGGGCCTGGGGTGGGAGGGATGGTGGGGCGGGGGGGCACCTCCAATAATGTTGGTCTTGTGGGGGTCAGATTGACAGATGCGTCAGCACGGTACAGCCGTGTGTACGCGTCTGTACGTGCGTACGTGTGCGTGCGTGCGCACGAGTTGAAAGTCTTCAAAGTTCACCTCGCCTGGCACAAGTGCTGCGGAGATCTGACTGTCATTTCGTGGTGAGCGACAGCTGTTGTTGTTGTGTGGTGCGTAAGTGTTCGTGAACCTGTGTTGATCGTTGATGTACGTGTGAGTAAATGTAAGTGTTTGTATGAGTGGGGAGCGGTAGTGTAGCGGTTAGCGCGCTGTGCTATGAACCCGGAGACCCGAGTTCGGTTCCCGCTCATGGCCAACACCGGTGACGATTATCTGAACCGGTTCTAGACCTCCCCTAGGTCGACTCGGCCTCAAATGAGTACCTGGTGCGGTGTGTAGTACATCTCCACTAGGGAGACAAAGGCAGCCGGGCGTGGTGTTGGCTACCCACCCCCTCATGTGTCGTACCAGCCTTCATAGGTGCTCACTAACAGCACTTGCCCCAACAATCTGTTCAGGCTATACGGGTGATCTTTGTATGAGTGTGTTCATGTGTACTATATTTGTAAGTGTGGATTGGTGTGTGTTTGTAAGAGTACGAGTGTGTACCTATGAGTGTGAGTGTATTACGATCGTGTATGTGTGAATGTGAACGTACATGTGTCTGTGCATTAGTGCATATAAGAATGTGTGAATGTGAGTGTGGAGATATGTGTGAATGTTTGTGTATGAGTTAGTGTGTGTGTGTGTGCGCGTGTGTAGATGTTTGAACACACAGCTATGCCGCTGAACTGGCAGACGCCGCAGCCGGCACGGGAATCCCTGCCACGGCCGTTAGCTCAAGGTCACCTTCATTCAGCACACCGCCTTCCGCAGCCTCACACCATCATCGAATCATCACCGGCAGCCACGGTCAATCCACTGCTGGATGAAGGCCTCCCCAAGAAGCTGTTGCCATCTGTCACGATTTTGCGATGCGACTCCACCTGGCGCCATGACCTGATTTCATCGCTCCATCTTGCTAGTCGGCGTCCTCTCTCGCGCTTTCCCTCCCCGTCGTCCTTTCTAGCCGTGACGTGTCCGGCCCCAGCCCACTCAATTTTCTTCCACAGAATGATGCCGTCTTTGCCCAGCGTGTGGTCTCTAATCTACGTGGGTCCCTCTTTCTGTCTCAGCATAAAATAACATCTTATGATCATTGTTATCAGAGATGATGATGATTTGCTCAACACCACAGTGATGGAAGACTTAATGAGTACTCCGCATAGCCTCTCGCAGACTGTTGGGGAAAGTGCAGTTAAAGAGCTCCTATGCACGGTGCAGGCCAGAACAGGACATGAGGCGATGGGTGGCGAACAACTCGGTGGACGTTCGGGATCCCGTGACGTCATTCCCAAGAGTAGTCCGTTGTGTGCCGGCGTCGCGATCCTCATTTTGCCAAATTCGAAAGGTGGAACCGCAAATCACTCGCCAGGGATTCCGCATACCGCGACCAACCATCGCCCTCTAGTGGCAGCAGACTCATGGCCGCTGGCAGGCCACGTGCACTGAACCACTTTGTGTCACACAGCGACAGCTCCCACTGGGGGTGCCCTTCGAATGTTTGAGATGAGGTGTGACACATGAGGCGTTTTACTTTTCTGGGGCATTTCAGCGGCGCATTACAAATGCAACATTAATTTATTTAATGTTGATTTAGGTTTGTGCACTGTTTTATGCGTTTTTTGGAATGCAGTTATGTGCTGATTTCTATTCGCTTAATCATTGTATGTCGTTTCCATGTATGTATGTTGAACTCCTTTCACACCGTACGCAGCCAACCGTGCTATTTGGAGGTGTGGGGGAAGAACAGCAAACTAAACACAAGGCAGTTCTTACGAAATTAGTTTTCAATCTATATTTTAAAAAATGCATAGCTCCAGTCACTTCTTATTATCGGAAGGAGGTGTGTTCCAGGCGGGTGCAGAAGTGCATCTGAAAGCGTGTAAAAGCAGTAACTGTTTTTGTTCGATGGCTCGCCGAAAGATGCTGTGAGGATGACCGGAGCTCACATGATGGTTGATGCTCCTTTTGTTATTGCTTTTGTCGTTTTGGTCACCCAGGTCACCACTCTCGAGTCCTAACCTGGTTAAACAAAATAAACGTGAAATATTAAGAAAAGAAGATAAGATTATTATCCATCCCCAAAGTGGAAGGGGAACTGCACGTTGAACTCCCGGAGATGCCCGGCAGTAGTGCGTGGTAAAGGCTCGGCACACGAACCAACCCGGACAGCCGTGCCCGCGAGGTCGCGGGTCAACGGCGGCCCTAACGGCGGCCCTAACCCCGACCTCCCGACCTACCCCCCCCCCCTCCGACCCCGCCGTCCGTCCCGACCCGTGGGCACGCAGAGCTGGAGGAGGAGTCTCCCATCATCAACTGGTCGCTGGAGCTGAGCGAGCGTCTCGAGTCGCGTCTGTACGCGCTGTGGAACCGCACGGCTGGGGACTGCCTCCTCGACTCGGTGCTGCAGGCGACGTGGGGCATCGACGACAAGGACTGCGTGCTTCGCAGCGCGCTGCGCGACAGCCTCCACGACTGCTCCCACTGGTGAGAGAGTGGCGCGCGTGTGTGCGCGCTCGCGCTGTGCGTGTGTAGTGTAGTGTTCATCATAAAGGTTTTTGGGTTTGATCGCGTAAGTATCAATGTGTCGGAACCCTCCACCACCCGACACAGCCAATTAGTAAGGGATTTGTCACGTAAACAAAAACGCCAATTAGTTACTACTTGGAGTGTAAATCCACAACATTTACAATTTGAGTAGTTTGACGTTTCGCTGGTAATCACAACCAGCATCATCGGACGATTTGCTAAAAATAGAGCAAGATGAGCCCATCAGGTGCAGAAATCAGAGGAGGGAATGGTTATTGTAATTTTATAATAGATTAGTAAACAGTTAATTAGTATGTGTTTCCTCTATAAGGAATTGTAATTGTAAGATGTATTACTTAATAATACGTTTCCAGGCCGCACTAAGCCTGTAGCTGTCAGAGCGGTGAAAATTATTTGCATTTCTCTCAATTTCAATGGATTCTCGAATTAGTCTTGGCCAGTAATAATTCGTTTTACATAACACTTCAACGTTATCAAGATCAATTGAGTGTCCTTGTTGGTAAGCATGTTCTGCAACTGCCGACAGTTGTGTTTGAGAGTATTTAATATTTCTTTGGTGTTATTTTAGTCTTACGCTAATGTTACGTCCCATCTGTCCAATATAGTATCTGCCAAGTAGGCAATTAATCCGATGTTGATTACTTAGGCAATTAATGTTTAGTACAAGATACTCGTTTTTTTATTTTGTGTACCGTGCCAAATCTTACATCGATTTTTTTTTCTTTTCCAAAACTCGAACTATTTTGTCAGTCACTCCCGCGATATATGGTATTTTAATCATTTTAATAACCTGATCGCTTTCAGCAGTATTGCTGTTCGATCTTGGTTTGGCATTCAATGCTCTGTTAATTTGAGCATTATTGTAGCCATTCAATCGTAAAGCTTCTTTCACATGTTTAATCTCTCTCCTCAGACTTTCACCATCTGACACTGTTTTAGCCCGATGTATGAGCATCTTGATGTGTGCGTTCCCTTTAAGTAAATGCTGCGTGGTGTTCTTTTACCATTTAGGCCACGTCCGGGTAAAATATCCAGGAAAGGGAGTGTGTTGTTCACCTCCATTTCCATGGTGAACTGGATGGCCGAGTTTTGTGAATTGGGATGATTGATAAATTAATTAAGTGTATTTTTACCATGTGGCCAGACAACCAAAGTGTCATCTACATATCTAAACCCAAAATATGTTTTAATGTACTTGTAGCAAGAGCTCTTACTTCAAAGTCTCCTATGTACAGATTCGCTATAGCAGGAGACAAAGAAGAGCCCATTGCTGCTCCTTCCTTTTGTTTAATTAAATCACCAGATTGGGTTCAGTGATGATGTCGTCTTGGGCTATTTAAGACCGGAAGAAGGTGGATGGGTTCACTATTCTGGCAAACGCCCGATGATGCTGGTTGATGTAATTACCAGCGAAACGTTGTACTACTCAAATTGTAAAAGTTGTGGATTTACTCTCCTACACACCGGTGGGCTGAAATAGTAACTACACTATACACTACACCATATACTACACACTACACTACACCATACACTACACTACTATACACTACACTACTATACACTACAATATACTACACTATACACTACACTACTATACACTACACCATACACTACACTATACTAGTAACTAATTGACGTTTTGTTTACGTGACAAATCCCTTACTAATTGGCTGTGTCGGGTGGTGGAGGGTTACGACACATCTATACTTACGCGATGTAACCCAAAAACCTTTATAACATTGGTCATGAAAGCCTAATAGGTGTTCAACTGGTAGTGTCGTGGTTAGCTCGCTGCGCTATGAACCCGGTGACCCGAGTTCGATTCCCGCTCACGGCCAACACCAATGACGATTATCTGAACCGGTCCTGGGCCTCCCCTAGGTCGACTCGGCCTCAAATGAGTACCTGGTGCCATATGTAAACATCGCTGCTGGGGAGACAAAAGTGGCGAGAACCAATATAGGCCGTGCCGGCTTATGGCTTCTCGCAAACAGCACTTGCCCCAACAGTTTGCTAAGGCTATACGGGGGACCTTTTTGTGTGTGTGCGCTATGTGTGTGGTGTGGTTAATGTGTGGTGTGTGTGTGGTGTGCTGCAGTATGGTATAAGATAGTGTGCGTGGGGTAATGCAGTGTATCCGTGAATACACCACGAAAACCAAATGCACATCGGTGACTTGGGCTACGGGGAACCACGTAATGATGACAGCGATGATGACAAGATTACGCTGTTTGGAGGGTGTCGCGGGAAAGCAGCAGCATTCGCGTGGGTGTCGCAATCAGGCGGTGTGTGCGGTGTGTGCCGTTTGAAGGTTCTACACCCGTTGGAAGGAGTGGGAGTCCTGGTCATCACAGAGCTTCGGCCTCCACTTCTCCCTCAGGGAGGAGCAGTGGCAGGAGGACTGGGCCTTCATCCTCTCGCTCGCCAGCCAGGTCAGTCCTGGGGCGTGCCGGTCGTAACTAACTCGGGGCCACACCGGGTTGGCCTCAGGCTGGCCACACCGCCTTTGCGGCAGCTGAGATGGGTGCTTAATGCGGGCGCCGTGTTCTCCTGTGATCTGGAACGTAAAAACGAACCCTAAGTTCATCCTCAATTCCATCCCAATTACGCAATCGGCGCCAACGTCACTCGGCGAGAAGTCCACACGGAGGAGAGCAGCGCCAACCCTATGTGTTGGAGAACGTCCCGTGGAAGTGGGCACCACAGATCTACTCCCGATGTCCTTCCAGTGACCTCTGGTTCAGACCGTTAGGGGGGCAGCACTTGGCCACCAGCGCCCTCCTGTGGTGTGCACCACGGCAGCCTAGCAAGGCCTGCACGCCTCGGCAGCCCGCACACGGTGCCGGTCCGGCCTGTGTTCGTGTGTGTTAATGTGGTTGCATGCGTGTATGTCAATGTGTGTCTTTGTGCGGTCGGGAGTGGTGCTGGCCACCCACCCCCTCGTCTGCAGTGCCGGCTTTCATAGGTGCTCGCTAACAGCACTTGCCCCGACAATCTGTTAAGGCTACACGGGGGATCTTTGTCTTTGTGTGTTAGAGTGTTGGCGTGCCGGTGTGTTTGCGGAAGCGCGTGTTGCTTTGTGCGCCGTCGACACTTCTCGGCATGGCTCGCCTAATTTTATCGCTCGCGAAAGGAGTGTTTACTCCCCTTCCGTTTTTATCGGAGACATTAACCGATTGCAATTACCGCTCAGCAGTGGAGGAGCGCGCCTGCTTAACGCAATAAATCGCGCTTTAACGAGGCGCTAATGAGGCCCCGGGCCTGCTCGTATTATGCTAATTTTAATGACGCGTCTGATTTACGCAAATTGGGGAAAATTGCCGGCGCGTGGTCCGTGCGCGTCTCGTTTACTTTCCCGCGGGTTCGGTTCACCGTCCGGTAGGAGGGGGCTGCCCGTCGCTCGAAGCGGCAAATTAAACTCGCAGCCCCTGGTTCATCCACGGCACGATGTCGACCATGGTGGGGGGGGGGGGGTTGTTTGACCGTACTTTGCCAGTGCGGGTTGGGGATGTGGCTCCTAGGATCGGTTCAGATATCGCTCGTCACTGATGTTGGCCGTGGCTGGGAATCAAACTCGGTCACCACGTTCATAGCAAAGCTAAGCGCTGCAGCTCTTGCTCCAACAGTCAGTGTTGTGCGACACTGTGCGTGTCACCGTGTGCTACGGTTCACATGTGAGCTGCGCTTTGAATACGATGACCCAAATTCGATTCCTGCTTATGGCCAAAATCAGTGATGATTATCAGAACCAGTCCTGGGCCTCTCCTAAGTCGACTCAGCCTCAATTGAGGGGAACAAAGTCAGCCAGGCGTGGTGCTGACCACCCATTCCCTCGTGTGCCTTACCTGCCTTCACAGGTGCTCGCTTACAACACTTGTCCCAACAGTCTGTGAAAAGCTACATGGTGGATCTTTGTCTTTGTGTGGATACAGCCGGGCTCCAGCCTGGAGCACACGCACATTTTTGTGCTCGCCCACGTGCTGCGTCGTCCCATCATCGTCTACGGAGTCAAGTTTTACAAGAGCTTCCGCGGGGAGACGCTGGGATACGCTCGCTTCCAAGGTCCCACAATCACCACCCACACACCCCGCACACACCATGCACACCCCGCACACACCATGCACACCCCGCACACACCATGCACACCCCGCACACACCATGCACACCCCGCACACACCATGCACACCCCGCACACACCATGCACACCCCGCACACACCATGCACACCCCGCACACACCATGCACACCCCGCACACACCATGCACACCCCGCACACACCATGCACACCCCGCACACACCATGCACACACCATGCACACCCCGCACACACCATGCACACCCCGCACACACCATGCACACCCCGCACACACCATGCACACCCCGTACCCATCAACACCCCGTACACCCTGCACGTGTCTAAATCGTCCACGTCACGTCACGTACACCCGACATCACTTCCACACCCAGCGCATGATCCCTGCCCAACACGTGTACGCGTGTACGAGCGCGCCGAGTGAGCTCCCAGCGACGCACGCGATGTACGAGGGAGCGCGCGCGTGTGCCTGCGTGCGTGCGCAGGCGTGTACCTGCCCGTGCTGTGGGAGGCGAGCTTCTGCTGGAAGTCGCCCATCGCGCTGGGCTACACGCGCGGTCACTTCTCGGCGCTGGTGCCCATGGAGAGCGAGGGCTACGCGAGCCCCGGCGCCGGCGCCAACATCGGCGGCGGTGGCGGCGGCGGCGGTGGCGGCGGCGAGGATGAAGGCACCGTGACCTTCCTGCCGCTGGTGGACAGCGAGCGCAAGCTGCTGCCCGTGCACTTCCTGTCGGCCTGCGAGGTGAGAGACGTCGGACGCCGCGGGAGTCGCTGCGTACGTTTGCTGTTGGCGCAACCGTTCTCGGGCGATACAGTCGACTGCTTCATGTGGACAGGAGTCGGTTTGACACGTAGGCTGTAAGAAACCCTGGGTAGGCACCCGATCTCTTAACTGTTGCTCTGACCCTGCACAATATCTTGACCCAATGCGTTTATACCCAGGGGTTCAAATCATATTTTGTATTTTCACCCCGGGATGAAAATTCTACGAGGTAAAAATTGTCTCACATTTCAGTGGTCTCTCGCTGGTGCTGCAGAATGTTTGCACGTTCTCCCCGTGGTGGCATGGATTGTTCTCCGGGTCCTCCGGTTAGTCCCTCCACATAGAGAATCAACATCACTTGTTTAGAGTATTTGACTGCTGTAGTAAATTTCCACGTGATAAGCCACGTGGTTGAGCTGTCATTTGTGGCCAGGTCACTTAATAAGAGCTATACAGCTCATTGGGCCTTATATGGTAAAATAAAAAAATGGTTTAGTAGTTTAGACTGGCGCTAAACCCCTTTCCTTCTTCCCCCCCACTTCCTCCCTCCCTTCCTCTTTCTCCTCCATTCCGCTCTTCCGTCCCGCAGATCGGCAGCGAGGAAAACCAGGAGCGGCTGCTGCGGCACTGGCTGGACTGCTGCGTGACGGAGGGCGGCATCCTGGTGGCACGGCAGCGCGTGTCGCGGCGCCGCCACCCGCTCGTCACGCAGATGCTGGACAAGTGGCTCGAGCGCTACAGGCACCTGCAGCCCCGCGGCCCGGGGGGGGCGCTGTCGGACGGGGAGGAGGAGGACGAAGAGGACGAGTGACGACGACGGCGGCGGCGACGATGATGAGTGACGATGGCGGCGGGGGCGATGAGGGGCGAAGAAGTTGCTCGTCCATTTCCGGCGTTTGTGGGGCGCTAAAACCGCTCCCCACCTCGCCCCACCGTGCCCGCACCACGATGAACAGCGCCCTCGGTGGAAACGAGCGAGGGGCGGCTGTGCTTCAGCCTCTCTTCGCGAACCGCCCCCCCCCCCACCCAGCCCTCTTTTCTCCAGCACCACGAGCCAGCACTATCGCCCATTGCGACGGAGGTCACAGGTCAAGAGTTACGAGTAGGTCAGGAATTGTGGCATTGCCAGAAAAGTCGGCGGTGGGTGAAAATTATGAGGAGGGTCGGAGGTCGGGGCCGGTTGCCAGTCGAGTCGGGTGTCCGTTAACCCTCAAACTCGGCGCTTGCAATTGTGGGTGGAATGGAATGAGACGGAATGAGACGGAATGAGACGGAGTGCGATGGAACACAAGCCGCTGTGGTGGAAATGGCGGAGGTCATTGTCAGGCTTCGGGTAGTTGGAGCCCAAGTCACGCCAGGACAGCACGGGAACGACGCGGTGAGGGACGAGTGGCGGGGGGGGGGTTACTGAGTGAGCGAGTAAGTTCCTGCCGATGGGTTGCTCATCACGTCATCAGGGTGGACGTTTCACTGTACAAGGACGAGTTTGCGGGATGGGACACCCTGCCCTATGACCCTTGAGGTCACCTTCCCACGCTGAGGTTAATTACTACAAAGACACACATACACACGCACAGACACAGGCGAATACACAATACATAAACACGTACACACGTGCACAAATTACGCACTTAGGTGAACACAGAGAGATGGACACACAGACACATAGCCGAATACACGTAGACATACCTAGTACGCAGACACACACAAACTCACGCATAAACATAAGCACAGATGTAACAAAGACATGTCTATGCAGACACGTAAACATACGGACAATCATAAATATATAGACACGCGTTTACAAAGACAAAGACACTCGAGGGGTTGTTACGGTGAGACACAACAGGGCTGACACTACACACGATCGTCGGTACCACGTGATATCTGAACCTGTCCTGAGCTGCCGCCTCCTCTTGGTCGACTCATTCTTAAAACGGAGTCCTCGGTGCGGCAGCGACTGGGGAGTGGGGAGGCGAGGCGGTAACCACAACCACAACAACTCCTCCTCCTTCTCCTCCTCCCCGTGTGTCATGCTGGCCTCACGAGGTGCTCGCTGACATACGCAGCACTTGCCCCCCCACCCCCTCCCGTGGTCTGCGAGGCTTGGTGGGGGACGTTCGTCGTTAATCTTGACACGCACGCGTACACGCACGCGTACACGTCGTGTGGATGCTGTGTACACGCACGCGTACACGTCGTGTGCACGCTGTGTACACGCACGCGTACACGTCGTGTGCATGCTGTGTACACGCACGCGTACACGCACGCGTACACGTCGTGTGGATGCTGTGTACACGCACGCGTACACGTCGTGTGCACGCTGTGTACACGCACGCGTACACGTCGTGTGCATGCTGTGTACACGCACGCGTGCACGCACGCGTACACGTCGTGTGGATGCTGTGTACGCGCACGCGTACACGTCGTGTGGATGCTGTGTACGCGCACACGCACGCGTACACGTCGTGTGCATGCTGTGTACACGGTGGGTGCGCACACGCAGGGTAGATTCGGCAGTTAAATACACGTGGCTGAATTGGTATCGGTTCGGAAAATAATGTTAAGTTAAAAGAGAGTCTCCGCGCAGTGGTGCCATGCCTCACAGCAAGAATCACCCGAGTTTGAGTCCCGACTTGGGTGCCCCCCTTTCTGTGTGGATGTCGTACGTCCTCCCCTTGGTTCTCCCTTTCCTCGGGGTTCTTCAATGTCCTCCCATTGCAACAAAAGAACCCCCAACAGTGTAACTGGTATAACATGGGACGTTTCTTGCCAGTATCAAAATATAAGAATATGTTTTAACCTTTTTGGCAATTACCGGTATTGGTCAAAACATCCCATTGCTGCAAAAGCTCCCTGCAGAATTATTCAATTGAGATCACACGGCAGCAGTAACAGCAGCAGCAGCAGCAACATCGCCCCCTCTCTGCTGTGAAAAAATAGAATGGCAGGACCCTCTTTAAAAAAAAGTCTTGAGGGTCCGTGAGGCTGTCGTGGGTTAACAAGCGTCGTCGTCGTCATAACCGCGACCGAGACTTGCAAGAGGAGGAGGAGGCGGCTAACGTGTGTCAATGAGTGAGAATATATCAAGCTGCTTTAACAACACACACAGATGCCTGTGTGTGTGTGTGTGCGCGCGCGTGAGTATAGTATGGATCCAGTGTGCGTGCATGCTCGATGTTTACTGTACTCACATGTGCGTATGTTTGGGTGTGTGTGTGTACGTGTCCCAAGAGAGTGTGTGTCTGTATATGCGTGCGTCTTTGTGTAGGTCTGTGCATGTTTGTATTTGTATGTGTGTGTCTCAATGTGTGTCTGCCGCTGTGTTTATACACAGCCCAGCACACAGCACACACAATACACACCGTGTACATAATATACATACAGAACACCAGTAGGTAGTCATTAAAAGGAACATGACCTTTGAGAATGAATTGCTCCCTCACCTTGTTCATTAATCATTGACCTTGCTGCCGAGTGCGATTTCATAGACTTGTTAAGAATGTGACAGATTCAAGCTTCTTTATATTTCACAGTTTAAGCACTCGCTCCTTGCCTGCCTCTACCCCCCTCCTGAGTGAAGGTGTATGTACCCCCGTTCTCTCCACCCCTTTCGGCCCAATACCTCTCCCTTCCCTCCCTCTCTCTCCTCCCTCCCTCTCCCTTCCTGCCATACTCCCGTGATCCCCGCTCCCCCACCGCCACTATCCCCTTCATTCCCCAGCATTAGCGCTTGGTCCTGACTGATGTGTGTACGAAGGGCGGTGCTTTACGTTGCCTGTTCATAACTAGCGTGTTGCGATGAGTCTGTTTTTGATTATAGCCTCTTGTGAAATTATCCACCACTCCCCCATGTGGCCACACCGCCTCGCTACGATCAATGAATTATTCGAGCCCCATGGGGTCCTGCGTCATGGATTTTAAGTACGGGATCCCAAGGTGGTCTAGATCATTGAATATTCGCTCCCAAGTTCCTGGGTTCTAACCCCTAGGTCCTGAGTTTAGAGCCTTGGGTCCTGCGTCATGGGTTTTGAGTCCATGGTCCCCTCGGGTCCTGGAGTCTGGATCCTAGGGTTTTGAGTCCTGGAGTTCTGAGCCCTGTGGTTCTCAACCCCAGCGTCCTGAGTCATGGCCCTTTGAGTTCAGGGCCCTGTGTAACACAGATACCTGGGTTCCGAGATCCTGGGTCCCTGTGTCTGTGCCACTGGACTTGGGCCGAGTGAGGCGGTGAGGCCTCTCCCCTATTATTTATTCTGTCGTTGCGGCTGCGTCAGTATTCGCCGCTGCCCGGGGAGGGTGGGGATCTCTGTGAGCAGAGCGCCCGTTTCCGGGGGTCCCCACATCCCCTTCTGAGAGTTCAACTGTCCCCACAGGTCGCTATGTTCACGACCCCCCCCCCCCCCCCCCCCGTATCACCAAGTCCCCAATTTCCCGCGTCCCCCCTGGGCGAGGGATACCGCGTGACGTCGTCCCCACGCCCTTGGTCCAGACCCCCAAACCCTCGCCAAGGGGACAAGGGGGTGAGGGTCGCAGGCGATATGAACTTTCAAACTGATAACGAACACCAAGTTAAAGTGGGTGTCCTAGCAAAGCGTTGGAGGTGGAATTAGAACTGGGGGGGTGGGGGGGGGGTCGCCGCAGACAGGACTACAACTGCGGGGCTGTGAAACTTAAAGGATTGGGCTCGTGCTGGGGGCTAATTGCCCCCCCCCCCCCACCCCAATGAAAAGCGTTTGGCGGTTGTTTGGGGTATCACCTGGTCATCGTGTGCAGTTGGCATGTGCTAGTATAGCCCACTGACCCCTATGGGCTCTGAAACCTGGGCTGTGCTCACAGGAGGACGTCTCAAGGGGAGCGGCTCGACACGAGCTCCCTGCTGCTGCAAACCCCGAGTGGAGGTTTGCCTTTAGGGCCTCTTGCCTCCTGAATGTTCCGCCGCGTCTACTTTGTCGCATTTTTCAGTGTTTTTTTTTCGTTTGCGGAGTTCTATTGAACCTTGAGCACAGACCGACACGGGAGGGTGATGCCAAGATCCGAGTCTTTAACATCGGGTGACATCCCTCCCGGCACACCACATCCAGTAAACCTATCGATGTGGCTGTGGTTGCTACCACACGCGCACCTTATTCCAGGAAAATGTTGTGAGAAATTCAGACCTGCAATTTGGGGATCCGGCCTGCGGTTGGGATTCACTCTGGGAGTGAAGTTGGCGGGGTCTGGGAAGTGGTTATACGTTCCCCCTGTCCCCTCTGAACCCGTGTCCTCCCCCCTCTCCCCCACCGCGTACTCCCTGGCCCCCCGTGCTGTTCCCATGTTCCGTGACCCCGGGCCGTGTACCTCCCAAATAAATTACCTGATTTGACTCCCCGTGACTCGAGCCGTTCTTTATGGGATGGACAGCTGATCTACCATCACTACCTACATCACATCACCCATAATCGTAATTTAATCATCGTTACAATCTCATCAAGCACCTTCATCTCATCATCACCCACACTCGCACAAACATCCAAACCTCTTCCACTCCGTCGGGCGGCGGTGGCTATGCCCGCTTGTGTTCCAGCATTGTGGAGAATCTCACCACGGCCATGATTGTCAACACCGGCACCACCATCCATGTCATGAACACCGCCTACACCACCATCCCCATCATCGGCACCACCTCAATCACTATGTTCGTCATGCCATTAAGCCAAACTTTATATGACCACATTCATTATCCCCATAATCACCTCTAACGCACCTTCGTTACCACCATCTTCACCATCACCAACACGAGTGCGCAAATCTCGAGATGTTTCGTTTGAATCCCGCACCTCTTAGCACGGTTGGCTACGTACGGCGCGAAAGAAGTTCAACATACACACGTACGTCATAGTATTTTCTGAAGGTTCCCGCGTAGCTTTACGAGATTGTTTCGATTTAAAGCTTTCGTGACTGCAAGGATTCATCTTCTTTGGTTCTTTCGGTAAAGTCACGTAGAATGAGAATAAAATAATACATTGATAAAATAAAATAACAATAAAATTCTCACGACGTTTTGGCCACAACACAAGCGGCCTTCATCAAGTGAAGGGACGAGACTGGAGGACTGGAGGACAGCGCTGGAGCGCTCCAGCGCTGTCCTTCAGTCTCGTCCCTTCACCTGATGAAGGCCGCTTGTGTTGTGGCCGAAACGTCGTGAGAATTTTATTGTGTTATTTTATTTTATCAATTTATTATTTTATTCTCATTCTACGTGACTTTACCGAAAGAACCAAAGAAGAGATTTTGTTTTTTTAGAATATTCGCAGCTGGCCAGGAGGTGGCAGTGTCTCTCCACTTCAAGTTCTTCCGTCTTCTTCCACAAGCTGCCGAAGCCGCCTTAATACAAACAAGAAGAGCAAACATGTCTCAGTCATGTCTCCGTCTCTCCGCGTAAAAAATATAAAAGTATTTCTGACACAACCCATCCGCCTTCTGGGAGTGCACAATTTATCTCAGCAGCATCGACTAAGTACAAGAAAAATTGTTCTCAAAAGCTCGGCTCGCTTCATTCAATGCTGGTGAACTGCCAGATTATTATATTCAAGGACTCTCCTCTCCTCAACACATGGGGTCCTAGTTCGACATAAAATTATACAATCCACAAAACGAATAAATCATTAGCGTCGTAAAAATATATAACAAAATATATAATCAGATAATTCACCTTTATCTTCTCCCTCCATAATACAAAAAAATGTTTACACATCGCATCGGCCACAGCCTTCTGGGAGAAAAAACTCTGGACTGGTTTGGACATTCAATCAGTGTCTCATCAGCACCATCAGTGTCTCATCAACACAATCAGTGTCTCATCATTAGTTAGGCTTGCGTGAACCGACGGTGGAGAACTGTCAAATGTTTATAAGCAAGGACCCTCTGTTAGATCTGTGTCCTAGTTCAATGAAAATCTCTATAATACACAACTCAAAATATAAATTCACAAAAAAACTCAACACATTTGTCAATAACACTCTGGCCTCAAAAGGAAATAAAATCAATAATATCCGACGTTTCGGGCAATGGCCCTTCTTTATAGCACATATATGCTTTATATAAGGGATGGGAGAGACGGGAGAGAGAGCAACACGGCGGCAGACGGCATCCCAGCACCAACAGGGGCAGCCGGGGCAAACGGGTTAGCACCAACGAGCCCCAGCGGGGGCATCCTTGGGGGATTTGCTTTAGTCGGCAGGGGACAACAGCACAGTCCAATGAAGTCATAACAACAGAGAACTAGTCGAGCAGCATTCAGCACTGATCAACACAAGCTCAAGGGAGTAATGTACTGTAACAGTGTAATCATGATGCGGCAAATTCAGCCACACGAGTAACACTGCTGCAAAAAAGCCGGTGCAAAATTTAATTTAGTCGCAGAAATACGATGAGACACCATCTCAATAACGTCATCATTACACCCAGAACGACATCGTCATCGCTCCCATCATCACCCCCAACATCACACGAATCATTCACTTCCAACATCGTCAATTATCATATACGTCGCAGTCATTACGGTTATCATCCTTACTCCCATCAGTCATCATCAATCGTGACCACCACCACCACCCCCTTCATCAGTCCCATCATCATCATCAAGTGATCATCACCACCCCCATCGTCTTCTTGGTCACTCCATCAGCTGGGGACCACGTGGAGTCGCGGCCTCGTCAGCTGATCGCCGGGGCGTGTCATGACGTCACCAAACCGATGCATCCCATTGGCGGAACTCCGGAAACGTCCCCCAATGCACGTGACGCGCTCGGCCAATTGGAGGACCAGTGACGTCAACTGTCAAACCCTCTCCCACGTGTCCGGTCGAGCCCCCAAGACCCTCCTGTATCGGGCTGCCAGGTCCCCTTTCGCCCCCCTCAGCCAACGACCTCACACCCTGAGCTTCACTCCCCTGAGACCGGGAGCCCGAAACTCAACGAGCCCGAGACCAGAACGCAAGGACCAGGACTCCCCCCTCCCCCCCATTCAAAAGTCCTCATTTTGACTCCACGTCGCCGGTATCCAAAGCCAAGGTCCCCCGTATCCTTGGGCCGCAGCCAAGAACCGATACCTGGAGCCTCGTTCAACGCAACTCTCCCCTTCGGTTGTCGTCGGCTCGTCCGCGTTACTGGTGAGAGGCACGGGCTGAGGCCGGGTGAGACACGCGTAGGGGTGAGACGTGGTGAGATTAAAGGTGTTACACAGAGGTGAGTCACAGGGGAGGGGGGTGGAGACTTGGGCGGTGGTGGCTCTATGCACTTGGCCTGGAATCCAGCACTGTGGAGGCTCCAGCGAGGGTTGTTGTTGCTGCTGCTGTTATTGCTGTTGCTGCTGTTGTTGCTGTGGTTGTTGTTGCTGCTGTTGTTGTTGCTGTTGTTGCTGCTGCTGTTGTTGTTGCTGCTGTTGTTGTTGATGCTGCTACTGCCTCCCAACGCGGTGTGCTGTGGTTACTCGGTGATTGTGAGAAAATGCACACGAAGTACGGTGTCGCCGTGTAGGCAACTAACACACACGACTACACTGTACTTATAACACAACAATTATGAGAGGGGGGGGGGGGGGTGACATTGGCTCAGAGTGAGAGAGGTGACGCGGAGGCGTTCGTGAACGAACGGGCGCCTTCTCTTCACGTGGCGCACCTTGCTGATTGACTGTCGGCTCTCGGCGGGTTTAACGCCACAACATTTACGCAATCTGAGCCGAGGAGACGCCGCTCCGGAGCGAGACGCCGGTTCGGAGCGAGACGCCGGTCCGGAGCGAGACGCCGGTCCGGAGCGAGACGCCGGTCCGGAGCGAGACGCCGAGTTCCCCGACCGGATAAGTTTCTGCCCCCCTCCCCCCGCCATAGCACGGACCCCGCGTGCACCCCCGGGGGGCCTGGGGGGGGACTCCCCAGACGGACCCCGGTGACTCGGGGGCGGTGGCGGGAGACGACGCCCCCTCGCACGCTTGGCGACGTTCACGGTGGTGTTGGTGGTGGGGAGGTCGTGAAGTTTGGACCTGGGGCAGGTTCCCTGTCGCCCCGGACAGAAATAGCCACCAATGGGGCCCAGGGGCAGAGGCACGGCCCCCGGGGGGGGGAGGGGCACCGCTCGAATCCTCGCCACCCCCCCCCGTGACCAGGGCTGCTGTCCGCGTGTGGGCTGTCAGTGTGTGGGCTGTACGTGTGTGGGCTGTCAGTGTGGGCTGTCAGTGTGTGGGCTGTCAGTGTGTGGGCTGTCAGTGTGTGGGCTGTCAGTGTGTGGGCTGTCAGTGTGTGGGGTGTCCGTGTGTGGGCTGTTAGTGTGTGGGCTGTACGTGTGGGCTGTCAGTGTGTGGGGTGTCCGTGTGTGGGCTGTCCGTGTGTGGGCTGTCAGTGTGTGGGCTGTCAGTGTGTGGGCTGTCAGTGTGTGGGCTGTCAGTGTGTGGGCTGTCAGTGTGGGCTGTCAGTGTGTGGGCTGTCAGTGTGTGGGCTGTCAGTGTGTGGGCTGTCAGTGTGTGGGCTGTCAGTGTGTGGGGTGTCCGTGTGTGGGCTGTTAGTGTGTGGGCTGTCAGTGTGTGGGCTGTCCGTGTGTGGGCTGTCAGTGTGGGCTGTCAGTGTGTGGGCTGTCAGTGTGTGGGCTGTACGTGTGGGCTGTCAGTGTGTGGGCTGTCCGTGTGTGGGCTGTCAGTGTGTGGGCTGTCAGTGTGTGGGCTGTCAGTGTGTGGGCTGTCAGTGTGTGGGCTGTCAGTGTGTGGGCTGTACGTGTGGGCTGTCAGTGTGTGGGCTGTCAGTGTGTGGGCTGTCAGTGTGTGGGGTGTCCGTGTGTGGGCTGTCAGTGTGTAGGCTGTCAGTGTGTGGGCTGTCCGTGTGTGGGCTGTCAGTGTGTGGGCTGTCAGTGTGTGGGGTGTCCGTGTGTGGGCTGTACGTGTGGGCTGTCAGTGTGTGGGGTGTCCGTGTGTGGGCTGTCCGTGTGTGGGCTGTCAGTGTGTAGGCTGTCAGTGTGTGGGCTGTCAGTGTGTGGGCTGTCAGTGTGTGGGCTGTCAGTGTGTGGGCTGTCAGTGTGTAGGCTGTCCGTGTGTGGGCTGTCAGTGTGTGGGCTGTCAGTGTGTGGGCTGTCAGTGTGTGGGCTGTCCGTGTGTGGGCTGTCAGTGTGTGGGCTGTCAGTGTGTGGGCTGTCAGTGTGTGGGCTGTCAGTGTGTGGGCTGTCAGTGTGTGGGCTGTACGTGTGTGGGCTGTACGTGTAGGCTGTCAGTGTGTGGTCTGGCAGTGTGTGGTCTGGCCGTGTGTGGTCTGGCCGGGTGTGGTCTGGCCGTGTGTGGTCTGGCCGTGTGTGGTCTGGCCGTGTGTGGTCTGGCCGGGTGTGGTCTGGCCGGGTGTGGGCTGTCAGCGTGTGGGCTGTCAGTGTGTGGGCTGTCCGTGTGTGGTCTGTCAGTGTGTGGGCTGTACGTGTAGGCTGTCAGTGTGTGGGCTGTCCGTGTGTGGGCTGTCAGTGTGTGGGCTGTCGATATTTGAAGAGGAGTTTGGGGGGCGGTGGTGTTGGCTGTGAGCGGCCAACACCACCAGTGACGATTGTCTGAACCGGTCCTGAGCCTCCCCTAGGTCGACTCGGCGTCAAATGAGTACCTGGTGCGGTGTGTCGTAACACATCGTCACTGGGAAGACAAAGACGGCCGTGCGTGGTGCTGGCTACCCAGACCCTCCCTCGTGTACCCTTCTGGCCTAGGTGCTCGCTAACACCCCACAGCAGCCTGTGAAGGCTCTAGAGGTGTTCCTGTGTCGTGGTGTTCATCAAAACCACCCCAATTTAATTAACTTCTTCAACACGGCACGCCGGCGACCGGGCGACGTTTCGCGTTTCTGTGAGAGGGGGAAACTTCCACGTTTTCAAGAACAGAATCTAGCAAACGCAAATTTGCAGGCGGTGCTATTTTCTTTTGTCCTCGTGTCGTACGATCCAGAGCGCGGCACCGTGGGGTAGAATCGCTGCGGCACGGGCTGCGTGTGCCCGGGGTGAGACTGCCGCCACCGGCCACCCCTAGGTCGACTCGGCCTCAAACGAGTAGCTGGTGCGGTGTGTAGTAAACATCGCCACTGGGGAGACAAAGGCGGCCGGGCGTGGTGCTGTCCACACGCCCCCCCCCTGCTCGTGTGCCGTGCGGGGGGGGGTCACTGACAGCACTTGACCCCAGCAGCGTGTGGAGACGACACGGGGGGGGGGTCACTGACAGCACGTGACCCCAGCAGCGTGTGGACACGGGGGGGGGGGTCACTGACAGCACGTGACCCCAGCAGCGTGTGGACACGGGGGGGGGGGGTCACTGACAGCACGTGACCCCAGCAGCGTGTGGACACGGGTGGGGGGGGTCACTGACAGCACGTGACCCCAGCAGCGTGTGGACACGGGGGGGGGGTCACTGACAGCACGTGACCCCAGCAGCGTGTGGACACGACACGGGGGGGGGTCACTGACAGCACGTGACCCCAGCAGCGTGTGGACACGACACGGGGGGGGGGGGTCACTGACAGCACGTGACCCCAGCAGCGTGTGGACACGGGGGGGGGGTCACTGACAGCACGTGACCCCAGCAGCGTGTGGACACGGGGGGGGGGGTCACTGACAGCACGTGACCCCAGCAGCGTGTGGACACGGGGGGGGGGGGGGGGTCACTGACAGCACGTGACCCCAGCAGCGTGTGGACACGACACGGGGGGGGTCACTGACAGCACGTGACCCCAGCAGCGTGTGGAGACGACACGGGGGGGGGGTCTTTGTGCTTCTCTGGGTGTCCGTGTGTCACGGTGGCTACACAGTGCGGGAGAGCTTTGTCAGGGTGTGTTTGTGTCGGGGTGTTTAGGTTTGCGTGTCTCTGTGCGTGTCAGCGTGTCTGTGTGCGTGTCAAGGTGTCTCTGTGTCTGTGTGCGTGTCTCTGTGCGTGTCAGCGTGTCTGTGTGCGTGTCAGCGTGTCTGTGTGCATGTCAGGGTGTCTCTGTGTCTGTGTGCGTGTCTCTGTGCGTGTCAGTGTGTTTGTCGGGGTGTTTAGGTTTGCATGTCTCTGTATCTGTGCGTGTCAGGGTGTCTCTGTGCGTGTGTCTCTCTGTGCGTGTGTGTCTCTGTGCGTGTCAGTGTGTCTCTGTGCGTGTCAGTGTCTCTGTGCGTGTCAGTGTCTCTGTGCGTGTCAGGGTGTTTGTGTGCGTGTCAGGGTGTTTGTGTGCGTGTCAGTGTGTGTCTGTGTGTCTGTGTGCGTGTCTCTGTGCGTGTCAGGGTGTGTCTATGCGTGTCAGTGTCTTTGTGCGTGTCAGGGCGTCTCTGTGCGTGTCAGGGTGTGTCTGTGCGTGTCAGTGTCTCTGTGCGTGTCAGGGTGTCTCTGTGCGTGTCAGGGCGTCTCTGTGCGTGTCAGTGTGTCTCTGTGTGTCTGTGTGCGTGTCTCTGTGCGTGTCGGTGTGTCTCTGTGCGTGTCAGGGCGTCTCTGTGCGTGTCCAGGGTGTGTCTGTGCGTGTCAGTGTCTCTGTGCGTGTCAGGGTGTTTGTGTGCGTGTCAGGGTGTCTCTGTGCGTGTCAGGGTGTTTGTGTGCGTGTCCGTGTGTCTCTGTGCGTGTCAGTGTGTCTCTGTGCGTGTCAGTGTCTCTGTGCGTGTCAGTGTCTCTGTGCGTGTCTGTCTCTGTCCGTGTCGGTGTCTGTGTGCGTGTCAGGGTGTTTGTGTGCGTGTCAGTGTCTCTGTGCGTGTCAGTGTCTCTGTGCGTGTCAGTGTGTCTGTGCACGTGTCAGTGTGTCTCTGTGCGTGTCAGTGTCTCTGTGCGTGTCCAGTGTGTCTCTGTGCGTGTCCAGTGTGTCTCTGTGCGTGTCAGTGTGTCTCTGTGCGTGTCAGGGTGTCTCTGTGCGTGTCAGGGTGTCTCTGTGCGTGTCAGTGTGTCTCTGTGCGTGTCAGTGTCTCTGTGCGTGTCAGTGTCTCTGTGCGTGTCAGTGTCTCTGTGTGCGTGTCAGGGTGTCTCTGTGCGTGTCAGTGTCTGTGTGCGTGTCGGTGTGTCTCTGTGCGTGTCAGTGTGTCTGTGTGCGTGTCAGTGTGTCTCTGTGCGTGTCAGTGTGTCTGTGTGCGTGTCAGGGTGTCTCTGTGCGTGTCAGTGTGTCTGTGTGCGTGTCAGTGTGTCTCTGTGCGTGTCAGTGTCTGTGTGCGTGTCGGTGTGTCTCTGTGCGTGTCAGGGTGTCTCTGTGCGTGTCAGTGTCTCTGTGCGTGTCAGTGTGTCTCTGTGCGTGTCAGTGTGTCTCTGTGTGTGTCTCTGTGCGTGTCTGTCTCTGTGCGTGTCAGTGTGTCTGTGTGCGTGTCTGTCTCTGTATCTGTGCGTGAATCTGTGTGTACTCGCGTTTTGCCCGTCCAAGGACGGGTGTATTGCAGTAAATCTGAAACTTGCAAGCGACAAGCAGACCGCGACGTGGTATTGCATTAATGCGTGTGAGGTTTGTAAGGGCGCGGTGACACAGGCCTATTTCATCTTAAGGTTATAATCCCTTACTTTGTTTCTTTCGGTAAAGTCAGGTAGGAGAAAAAAAATACGACGTTTCGATTGCAATACAAGCAACCGTCATCAGGTGTGACTGCAATCTCGGAGAGAGACACATACACAGAGATAGAGACACATACACAGAGATAGAGACACATATACAGAGAGATACATACAGAGAGACAAACACAGACACGGAGAGAGACATACACAGAGAGAGACACAGAGAGACACACACAGATACACATACAGAGAGACAAATACAGACACGGAGACACATACACTGAGACAGAGAGAGACGCATACACAGAGATAGACACATACACAGAGAGAGAGACAGACACATACACAGAGACACACAGAGAGACAAACACAGACACGGAGAGAGACATACACAGAGAGAGACATACAGAGACACATACAGAGAGAGACATACACAGAGAGACACAGAAAGAGAGCGACACATACACAGAGAGACACAGAGAGAGAGACAAACACGGAGAGACAAACACAGACACGGAGAGAGACAAACACAGACACGGAGAGAGACAAACACAGACACGGAGAGGGACACTTATACAGAGACACATACACAGAGAGACGCACACAGAGACACATACACAGAGAGACACACACAGACACGGAGACATACACAGAGGGAGAGACACATACACAGAGAGACACAGAGAGAGACACACAGAGAGAGAGACATACACAGAGAGACACACACGGACACGGAGACATACACAGAGAGAGACACACGGACACGGAGACATACACAGAGAGAGACACATACACAGAGAGACACACACGGAGACACATACACAAGAGAGACAGAGACACACACAGAGAGGAGAGACATATACACAGAGAGGAGAGACATATACACAGAGAGAGACACACACAGAGAGACACATACACAGAGAGACACACACATAGAGGAGAGACATATACACAGAGAGACACACACAGAGAGACATACACAGAGAGACACACACGGACACGGAGACACATACACAGAGAGACACACGTGTCTCTCCTCTATGCATTCACACCTGATGACGGCTGCGTGTGTTGCAATCGAAACGTCGTATTCTATTATTTACTTTATTTTCTTTCTACGTGACTTTACCGAACGAACCACAGAGTAATTCCTGCAATCACGAAAGTTTCAAATCTAAAGTCATAATCCCTTGTCCATCACGACGTCCTTTTTACTTCGATGTCTCAACAGCGTTACGGAGATCACGTGACGTGAGGATTCTGCCTTTGTAGTGAGAGTTGTAAGTTGACGCCGAGGGGGGAGGAGGCGCCTCGCCCCCCCATGTGGAGTGACGTCACCCGCTAATTATTATGAATGGTGGGGGGTGTCCATTTGGAGTACGTCACCTGCTCATGAATATTAATGAGGGGGGCTGGTTGATGTAGAGTGACGTCACGAGCGTTAAGGACAGACATTCCTGGGTGATTTTATTAGGTATTTCTGCGTGTCAGGGTGTGTATCAGGGTGTTTATGTGCGCGTGTCTCTCTGCGTGTCTCTCTGCGTGTCTCTCTGCGTGTCTCTCTGCGTGTCTCTCTGCGCGTCTCTCTGCGTGTCTCTCTGCGTGTCTCTCTGTGCGTGTGTGAGTCATGATGATGTTTATGTGCGTGTCTCTCTGTGCGTGTGTCAGGGTGTGCGCCAGTCGTGATGCTGTCCAGGATGCGCCGCGCTGGCACCGTGGCGATTCGCTCCGTAAGCTCAACGGCGACCGTGGGGGGCTCAGCCCCCCGACAGCGAGCACGGGACGGGGCCCCCCACCACCTCTCGCCCACCCAGGTGATCTCCCGGGAGGAGCAGTATGGCGCCCACAACTACCACCCCCTCCCCGTGGCGCTCACCAAGGGAAAGGGTGAGTTGTGGCGGTGAGGCGTGTGGTACAGGACAGTGGTGTGGTGAGTGTGGTTTTGTGAGGGGTGTGCAGTGGGGTTGTGTTGTAGTTTAGGGTAGGGCGATGTGGTGGTGTGGCGTAGGGTAGTGCGGTCTAGAGAAGGGGTGGTCTGGTTAGCGAGAGGTGTCATGTGAACTGGTGTGGTCGGATATGGAACGATGCTTCATTTGTTAATTCTGGATCTGTCATGCCCACGTGATGCATGTGTTAAAGTGTTGCCCCCTCGTCTCCGTATCTCTACGTATTCCAATGTTTCTGTCCCGTCTCTCCCCGCCTGTCCTCAACGTCTCCCTACGCGTCCCCCTCCCCCCATCCCAGGCGTGTTTGTGTGGGACGTGGAGGGGAACCGCTACTTTGACTTCCTGAGCGCGTACAGCGCCGTCAACCAGGGCCACTGCCACCCGCGCATCGTGGCGGCGCTCACGGAGCAGGCCCAGCGCCTCACGCTCACCTCCCGTGCCTTCTACAACGACGTGCTCGGGGAGTACGCGCAGCTCATCACCTCGCTCTTCGGATACAACAAAGTGCTGCCCATGAACACCGGTCAGTGCCATCCCCTCCGGTGTTGCCCATGAACAACTGTCAGAGCTGTCCCCTCCTGTGCTGCCCCTCGGTGCTGTCCATTAACACCGGTCAGTGCTGCCTCAGTGCTGCCCTCGGCACCATTTAACTGAAGTGGTTGGATGGTGGAGAGGTCAGCTGGCACCGCTGGAAATGATTCCAGGTTTCAGCCGCATGCGGTCAAATAAGAGTTCTTAGGTTTTCAAGTTTATTTTGTTTATCCAGGTGAGAACTTGAGTCCATGATCGTCTCATCTGCAATCGTGACCTGTGGTATTAATCTGATAGTAGGGGGTGATTGCTATACAGTATATCCCCATTGAGCAATATGCGGTGTCATTTTTTAAACACATTTGGACCATGATGCCGGCATTCAATGGCCGACTCTTTTAGGATTACATCAGGGATCTTTAATGTCCACTATGTTGCAGATGGCATGGTACAGTATTAAACAGGGAGGTCGCTGAATTTGGTGTGTAGGCGGTAAGGTGACGGCGTGCTCTGTTCTCCCCGTGTGTGTAGGCGTGGAGGCCGGTGAGACCGCGTGTAAGCTCGCGCGTAAGTGGGCATACACGGTGAAGGGCGTGCGTCAGTACGAGGCCAAGATTATCTTTGCCGGTCAGTGCCTGTGTGTGCATGCGTGTGGAGTGGTGGCACATTTTAGCACACTGCACTATGAACTCTGTGACCCGAGTTAGATTCTTGCTCACGGCCAACGGGTCCTGGGCTCACCTAGGTCGACTCAGCCTCAAATGAATACTTGGTGTAAAACGACAGCACTGGGGAGACAAAAGCGGCCGGCCATGGTTCTGGCCACCTAATCCTTCGTGTGCCTTGCTGGGCTTCATAGGTATCATTACAGCCATTCGTCCTCAGTCTGTTAAAGCTATCTGGGGGATTTTGGTGCGCTACATTTGGAATCTGGTGACCCGAGTTCCCAGCCATGGCCAACATCGGTCTCCCCCCATGTTTCCCGGTGTCCTTGTGTCTCCCTGTGTTCACCCCCTTGTCCCAAATTCTATGTCCTCATGTCTCCGTCTGTCATTACGCAGAGGGCAACTTCTGGGGTCGCACCCTGGCGGCCATCTCAAGCTCCATGGACCCCTCGAGCTACGAGGGGTTCGGCCCCTTCATGCCGGGGTTCCAACTCGTCCCCTACAACGACATCAAAGCCCTCGAGGTCAGTAATCAGAGCGCTCCTTAATGAAGGACTTCCTGATTTTAAGGAGTCAATTCGCGACCGTGTATTGTGCCTAATGTGTTACATTAGTGGTGACTATGTAATTGATGACACATCTTTCACATTGGGCAAAGGTTGGCAACGTTGAGAGTTTGGTAAAGGAGACGACGGGAGGGTGGTGGACATGCTGCATGTGTACACGTGTACCCATGCGTGCATTACATAGTGCACCCGACAGCTGTATGCAAGCGGTGTACCACCCTGTGTGTTGTGCCCCCCACCAGGTTGCGCTCCAGGACCCCACGGTGGCAGCGTTCATGGTGGAGCCGATCCAGGGGGAGGCGGGAGTCATCGTCCCCCAGGAGGGATACTTGCGGCGTGTGCGGCAGCTCTGCACGCAGTACAACGTGAGCAGCACACCCAACGGTGGTCTGGTGGTTGTGGTGGTGTGGCAATGGTGTGTGGTTGTGTGATGGTGGTGTGGCAATGGCGTGTGGTTGTGGTATGGTGTGCTGGTAGTATAGTGTGCTGGTAATGGTATGTGATAGCTACGAAGCGTGCAGTGGCTTTGCAAGCCTCACCAGCACACACCGCCCAGTGGTGTAATGTGTCGGTGTGGAGATGTGTGCTGTGGTTATCGTTGCGATTGCTGTGGTTATCGTGGTGGTGTTGTAATGTTGGTGGTTGCAGGTTCTGTTCATTGCGGACGAGGTGCAGACTGGGCTGGCGCGCACCGGTCACCGCTTGGCGTGCGACTACGAGGCAGTGCGGCCAGACCTGGTGTTGCTTGGCAAGGCCCTCTCCGGGGGCCTTTATCCGGTGAGCACCGGCAACTGCAGTGCAGCAATGGTGCGGTTCGTGATGGTGTGAGAATGCGGTCCAGTCTCACACTACGGCTATGGTGTGGTTCCCAGGTATTCACCGTGCTGTGGGACCTTGTATGATGGTGCTGTGATGGTGCGGTGTGACCCAGGTATCGGCCGTGCTGTGCGATGACGAGGTGATGCTCACAATCCGCCCCGGAGAGCACGGATCCACGTATGGGGGGAACCCCCTCGCGTGCCGCGTCGCCATGGCAGCACTTGAGGTACCTGCGGAGGAGGGGGCACCTAACAACCAGGGTTGCTTAGCAACCGGGGTCACTCGATACCTGGCAACACCCTTTGCCTGTCATGCTGGCGACCATGTATGTGTGTAAATGTGTGTGGGGAGCGGTAGGGTAGTGGTTAGCGCACTGCACTGTTAACTTGTATAATTTCGGCTCATGGTCGACAACAGTGACAACTGGTCCTGGCCCTCCCCGAGGTCGACTCAGCCTCAATGAGTACCTGGTGTGATGCCAAACACCGCCACTAGGGAGACAAAGGCGGTCGGGCATGGTGCTGGCCTGCCACCCCCTCGTGCGCCATGTCTGTCTTCAAAGGTGATTGTGAACAGCACTTGCCCCAAAAGTTTGTCAATGCTATATGGGGGAAATTTGTCTTTGTAGGTACTGGAGGAGGAGGGCCTGGCAGAGAACGCCCGTATTATGGGCGAGCTTCTCCGCTCAGAGCTGCGGAAGCTGCCAAGCTCGGTGGTGAGCAACGTGCGGGGGAAGGGCCTCCTCAACGCCATCGTCATCCACCCAACAGAAGGTCAGCTCACTCCCCACACACCACGTGTACAACCACACTGGGGGGGACCACGATGACACACCTTGTCCCCCAAGTTCTCCATTTGCACCTCTACAACCCACATGGTCTCCAATTATACTGCGGTCCCCACATCTGCTCCCCATTTTCCATGTCTCTATTTTTCCTCGTCTTCCATAAGCACTTCGTCTCCACTCGTATCCCAGTCTCTACTTGCACCCTTGTGCATCCCACCATGTGCTCTTCACGTGGACCCATAGTTTCCCCCATCATATGCGGTCCCTTGGCTTTTTGAATATCCTGTTCTTTTCCCTTCCCTGTAACATTCCCAAAAATGGTTGCCTGTTCTCAAATTGACCTGTACCTGTATCCCTTATTCCTGAGTCCATGTACCCCCAACCCCTTCAAATAATACCTTCTGTTCCCCCCCATGCAGATTACGACGCGTGGCAGCTGTGCCTGCGTATGCGCGACCGGGGTCTGCTGGCCAAGCCGACGCACGGAGACATCATCCGGTTTGCACCACCGCTCATCATCACTCACGACCAGATGGAGGAGTGCATAGATATCATTCGCAGCGCCGTGCTCTCGCTGTGAGCATTGCTCGCTCGCATTCTCATCACAACGCTCCCCCCCCCCTCCCCTTGTCTTGCGTAGTTTTGGTCGAAATGGAATAACGTGGTCCTCTTTACAAACTTGTGGTTTATTTAGTTCTCAAGCGCGGGCGCTGACGCGCGAGGGCATTCACTTGGCACTTAGTGGAGGGCAGTGCGGAGAGGGCAGCACTTCCATCAAACACATGGGCCCCCCACCAGCCTGAAGAATAAGGTGGGGGCAGGAGCTGCCCTATGAGGGGGGGCCCTGTCTCCCTGGGTGGTGGGGACGAACCCCAGTATTAATGGCGTGTACGCACCTGTGTATATGTGTGTAAGTGCGAGTCAATAAACACTCCGCTGCTTGCGCCCTCCTTGTCTGTGTCACCTTTCTCACTGTGTCAGCCACACTGTAAATGCTCGGTGGTGATAGACAACACCCAGGTTCCACCACAGCAAGCACCAAGTCCAAATCTCCTTTGACCCCGGTAGAACCCCTGCCACTTGGGAGTGGGAGAAGCTGATTGATGAAGGGGTCAGAGGTCCTGCTTGCATGAGTCTGTGGCTGCTGTTGAGGGATCTGTTCCAGTGGCTCCAGCTTTGGTGTTGAACACAGCCCCTCCCTCACCAGCACTCCCTGGTCTTTCCCAGTGCTTGGAGTTGAGTCCTTCACGGTTCCGTGCAATCTCCACAGCCAGGAACTGGATCCTGGTGGCTGCAGGCACAGGGGGGTTGGGTTAGTACTTGTGTGTACTGCATTCTGAGTATGCAGTGTGTATGAAGATATAGCTAGTGTATAGCATGTGTGTCGGTGTGAATGTAGTGTGTAGCACATGCCTGAGTATATTGGTGAATGTGTAGGTGTGGCTAGGCGAGATTATCATCCGTAATCGAGCGCGCGTGTGGGCAGTGGTTGGCGCACTGCACTATGAACGCAGCAAACCTTAAATCATTTCCCGCTAACAGCCAACATCTGACAAATATCTGATCAGGTCCAGGGCCTCCTCTAGATCGACTAAACCAAACAGTGGAATCTGGTGCCGTGTAAACATCAGCCGTGTTGGCCTTAACAGTCGCTTGCAAACAGCACTTCCACCAATCGTCTGTCAAGCAGCTCCACAGTGGATCCTGTCTTGTTGTCTGCATGCAGCTGTGGTGTTACTTCTTGTGCTCGTCAGCAAGCCGCCCATACCTAGGATGGTGTTGCTCTCCGAGTACGGCTCGGCACTCTGCAGCCTCAGCAGCGTCCCGAAGTTAAAGTCGTCGACTCTGCCCTCAAACTCTAGGCAGAAGGAGCGCCACTTCTGCAGGCGAAGGGGAGGGAGGGAACACTGTAGAAGTACAATACACAACGCGGGTCTACAGGGCCACAATGCACGCGCATCTCACGCCACACTGCGCAGAAGCTGTACGCACGTGTTCACTTTCTGGTGAGAGAGCCAGTCGGCCGTAGCCAAGTCAAAATAACTTGAGCCGTGACTTGAACAGGGGAAATGGACCAATGGGTCTGTGTGAGTCGATACAATAATAAACATTATTTACACCTTGCCATGCAACTGCATCATAGTAGAGCGCTGTTTAGAATCCGTGGGCTTATTTGTTTTCGAGAGAGAAAAGGAGGCAGTCGATCATAGGCAGAAGCAAAAAAGGTAGGCTTTGAATCTGGGCTTGAACTGGGTCAAGGAGCAGACAGGACGGGCAGCTGCTGGAATGGAGATCTATAAGTGAGTTGCAGACCAAATGAGGGCAGCATATGAGAATGAACGACCTCCACGTTAACCTATGACCCCCCCCCCCCCCCAAACTTGATGCTCCTGTGACCTCAAAGTCCCCCACCTCCTTGGCTTCAGGAGACTTGAGATGCTCGGGGCTGAGAGATTGCAGCGGGAGCGCTGGGAATGTGGCGCGGAACGCCGAGTAGATCTCATCGTCAATTGGCGACAGATGCAAGAAGCGGGGATCGACGGAGCACAGCAGCTGTGGCGAGGGAGGGGGGCACAGTCACCAACAGCATCCACGCGAGACACCAACAGTGACCAACAGATCCTCACAGGATATCCAGAGACCCCGATAAGGTCTGCACGGATCCCTAGAATCTCTGCAGATAGCCAAATGATCGTCACAGATTCCCACTGGGTCCCAAAAGGCACCCCCAATAACTTAAAAATGGTCCCTTCACAGCCTTCAAGAGAAATCGCTGACATCCCATTGCTGAGTACATTATTCGGTAATGTACATTATTCGGTAATGCTGCATTGGCAGTACTGCACAAGCACAAATAACACAAACTCAATACATTCATCAATACCATTGACCTAAAAAGAAATATATAGACAAAAATAATAGGAAACGTGTCAGGCAATAGCCCTCCTTCAGGTGTGTGATGTGTAGGATAATGTGAGAATGAGTAATGTATGTGTCTCGTGTGAGTGGGTGTATGTCTGAATGATGAATGGTGTGTGAGTGGGTGTATATGTGTAGCGTGAGTGTGGTGTTTGCGAGTGCTGTGCATGTGTAGTGTGAGTGGAGGGGTGTGAGGGTGGTGTGTGAGTGGGGGAGAGTATATGCGAGTGATGGTCACCCACCTCCTCGTGTGCCGTGTCGGCCTTCATACGTGCTCGCTAACAGCACTTGTCCCAACAGTCTTCATGTGTGCACGTGTAAGTAGTGTCAGTGGGGGTGGGTGTTGTGCATGTGCAGCGTGAGTGATGTGTGTGAGTGGGGGTGTGCATGTGTGTGTAGCCTCACATTGTAATGCACCTCCGCGAACTCGTGCGCCTTCATGGCCCACAGCATCTCAACTTGCTCCTGCGGTTGGGGTCATCAAAATCAATTCCACGGCGACTCAATCGTAGCGATGCCCAGGGAGTTTAGTGCATTGTGGTCCTCTTGCCTTGGGTCTCCATCAAACAAACATCTAAGCAATTGTGATGCCAACTGTGGACCGGCTTCATAGTTCATTTATTTGGTATAGCCCTGTGAGCCATTTGGCTTTTGAATCGGGTGCAACCGCAACAAACAAAAAAACATGAACAAGAAAACATCTTAAAGTGATTATGTGACTGTGCAAACAGAAAATCCAGGAAAAAAACATCAAAAATATTCCTGAAATAGCACCATACACCAACGCTGTGTGCAAAAAATTCCAGTGGGATGCAAGTCAAAATAACAACAACCACAAGACAACTAAGATTAAGGACATCAGTCTAACTCCATATACAATTATCAAAAACATGGCCAAAACCCCAAAAAAGTTTTCGAAATCACCAAAATAAAAGCCATAAATGCAATGTAACAGTGATCATAGGGACTGACCGAATTTTTTACAATAAACTACATAAATAAATTATAACTCCAAAATCTAGAGCCATATTTTAGGCCACTGAATAGCAGTGGCAGCTAGGGGTGTACAACTCCTCTAGAGCAGTTTTGAGTGAAGATCTCATAGGTAGTGATTCAAGTTGCAGTTTATTGGCAATAGCATTCCAGACCCTGGGGGCATCAATAGCAAAGGCCCTTCCTCCGGTTTTTGTACAGCAATAGGGAATGTGAAGCTGGTAGATGAGCGAAGACCTGAGGTCAAATTTGTTCTTTGAAACAGAGAGGAGATCCAGCAGATAGTCTGCAGATTTTTTTGTAAGTACATCGTGAATAAATAAGATCTGGTGCACAAGCCGTCGAACTTTAAGAGATGTTAAGTTTGACCCAATGTAGAGATCACAGTGGTGAGTCCTATATGGGCAGTTCAATGCAAATCTTAAGGCCGAGTGATAGATGGAATCAAGCTTTTTCAGTACAGTACTTGGGGCTGATTTATACACGATGTCACAGTAGTCAAGTAGAGGCAGTATGGTAGCTTTTATCAATTCCAAACGGAACATTGGGGGGAAGCAATGCTTGTGTCGATACAGAAAACCAATTTTTATTTTTGTCTTTTTACCAATATAATCAATGTGATCTTCAAAATTAAGTTTTGAATCCAGGATGACCCCAAGATACTTATAGATCTTAACTTGCTCTATTTGATAATTATTCAAGGAATGTAATTGGGGAAAAATAACTTCCTGCTTTAGTCCCGGTGAGAAGCATAGCACCTTGGTTTTGGAGGTATTCAAGACTAGTTTAAGAGAAACTAGCTGATGTTGTAGTTTGTTGAAATCACCCTGGAGCTTAGCAATCACGTCATCCGGAGAGCAGCCAGCAGTAATCAGTATCGTGTCATCTGCAAAAAGATTTACCCTGGAATGATCCAGGTCAGTGCCCAAGTCATTGACATAAAGAGAGAACAAGAGGGGGCCGAGGATGGAACCCTGTGGAACCCCTTTTGTTATCTTAACACTGTTTGACCTCCAACCATCTGTGAATACAGTTTGGGTGCGAGAAAAGAGGTAATTTTTTAACCATTGTACTGTGTTCTCGGAAAAACCGAGGCAACTTAGTTTACTAAGCAGGGTGTTGTGGTCTACTGTATCAAAAGCTTTGGACAGGTCAAGAAAAAGACAGGCACAGTACTGCTTATTATCAAGGCTATTGTAAATTTGATTCAAAGAGTCTAATGCAGCAGATGTAGTGCTGTATTTTTTCGGAACGCAGATTGTTTTAGATGTAGTAGATTGTTGGTGGACAGGAAACTGCTAATTTGGTAGTTCAATAACTTTTCAAAAATTTTCATCAATGGGGACAAAATTGAGATAGGTCGGTAGTTATTGGGATCATCTTTAGGGCCCCCTTTGTGAAGTGGACGGACATAGGAATGTTTCCATTCTAGAGGAACTGATGCTTCTTTGATGGACAGGTTGAAAATATGGGCTATAGGTTTGTACATTAGGTGACCAACAGTTAGCAGAGCAAAGACGAGGAGGTCTCTTCAAGTACATTAGTCACCAATACTCCAAAAGCAGCCTTTGGCGACCGTATATGGGGCGTTTCTTAGTACCTAAGCAACCATCACAATAATACTAAATGTGCAGTCCAATTGAGGCTCTGCGCCGAGGCTAGGCACATTGTACAAGCTCAGCACCCCCACCCCCCGGCACATTATGCAGCGCCCACTTGCCCAATGCCTGGCGGCTAACCCGAGTCACAAATAACACGCTCGTCAACAACACCGTCGTGGCCTTCAACGTGCGTGTGTAAAAAAAAACACAACAGGCAACGTTTCGTCCAATGGCCCTGGTTCAAAGCAACACGAGGGGTAAACTTTCTCTATGTAGTAGGGCACGCGCCTCCTGATGCCGCGGTCACGCGCTCGGCAATTCGCACGGGAACAAGGGCCGGTTCGTCCCCTTGTGTAGTGCTGTGCACGCAGTGCCCACGGCGGTGATGGTGGTGGTGATGGTGGTGATGGTGGTGGTGATGGTGGTGGTGATG